AAGGGTGGGTCGGTCGGAGGACGCGTAACGGGGGGGCGATCAACGGGGGTCGGAAGCCGGGCAAGGGCTGCTAAATCCGTGGCTGCTAAAATCGACCTCAGAGAAGTTGTCCTCGTCCTTCCGGGAAGAAGCCCGTTGACTGCTTCGCGTGCCGCGCCTCATTCCGGGAAGCTGTTTTTTCCTTCCGGGAGGGCCGTTTTAGCAGCCACGGTTTTAGCAGCCCTCGCCTAGCTTCCGAGGGGGGGCAGCGGGGGCTGCCGAAGAGGCATCGCCTGAACTCCTCTGTTCTCTGCCTGCACTGCTGCTCGAGTCCGTGGGCTCAGGCCTCTGCGGTGTGCACCGCAATGCCATCCGGGCCAGCAGGTCGTGTGCCGGATTTCCCGCAGGTCAGCTGCGGTCAGGGGCATCGCCCTCACCAGGGCCCACCCCCGTCGCGAGCGCACGGCTCGTGCACGATCCCTGCGCGCCCGACCCGTGCCTCCAGGAGGCGATGGTGGAGCTCTACGTTACCGAGTGCGGCGGCGTGTCCGAGGCCGCCGATCCTGGTTTTCGTCTGCTCCTTTGGGTCCTGCCTCGGGGGTACCAAAACCGCGTGGTGACGGACCGCGTGGTGACCTCGAAATCCAAAGAGACCTCACCGCGCGGCCCGTCACTGCATGGTCTTGGGATCTCGGTGGCCCCAGTTACCCGAGGCGTCTTCGAACAGCGACCCGAGTCCCAAGGCGGCGCCGTGACCCCAGATCCCCATGGACCCCAGCCCCGACCACGTGTGGTCACCACACCATTCGGGGGCCCCCGACTGCTGCCCTGCCCGGTTCGCCCACAGCTCTCATTCTACGACTCCGTCCCTCGAGGAGCACAAGGGGCTTGCATATACACAGATCATGGGACCACGCCGCCTTAAGAATTCGTCTTTGAAGGCCTTCGCGGCGAAGGCCTTGACGACGGCCTTGGCTGGCTTCGCCTTCCCTCACTGTTCACACCGTTGGTCTTTGGCCAGATTTTAGAGGTCCGCGCGGGTTTCTCGGGTGCGCACTCCCCCCCATCTGGTGGCACTGGATGTTCATGTGTATGTCGTGTGCTATGCCTGGATGCTCTTTCGTCTTCTTTATCGCCCCCTCTCCGATGCCACAGTTTACACGCTTCCATCGTATAGGGTTCCCGCCAGGTGTCATTTCACCTTAATAATTTCGGGCTCCAGAGGGGTGCCACAGATGTCGATCCACTGCCCCTTGGGGCCCCGGAATATCGCTTTACTGGGCGTTGCATTTGTCGAACGATCGCCCTCGGACCCTTGCTTGTGCATCCCCCTCTTTTCCCGCCCGCTTTGCCACCAGAGCGCGCCGTCGTCGTCCGAGGTCGACAGTGGATGGGTTCGCCAGTCCGTTCTGAGCATCGCGCGCTGGAGCAGCACTTGAAACTTCATTTATCGTGATAGAACCCTTTTCCATAATCACTTAATGAAGACCTGACCTCAGCAAGGTCCCCGTCTTTGCGTTAGGGATCATAAATATTGGCGGGGCTTGGTTCGTCAAGACAAAGACTCCATTTATGCCTGTTGTTTTGGCTCTCTCAACTCAGGTCGCCTCCCAAAGGTTCGGGGTCCTTTCATGCCAAATCAGAAATTTGTCTTGGCCGAGATGAGGCACCTGAACGAATTAAGATCATGGGAGTCGGTCCTGTTAGCAGAGCTCACGCGTCGCTCTGTCATGCGAGCTGCCCGGGTCACGCGGCATTTGGAGGGGACCCACTTCCTTTCGCTTTGGGTGTTTTGTTTTGGTCATCCTGCGCTCGTCCATTTCTTGGATCTCGTGGTAGGAGGCATGCGAGGCTAGCGTACCGGACCTGGAATGGCACGAACGGCGGAGCTGGAAGCGGACCGACCGACGTGTATCTTCAGGGGCAGGCTTTACATTACAAATAGTACCGGCAAGGAAAGGTCGGCCTTCCAGGCCCCTGGGGGGTCCAGCGGGGCGGTGACACACACACACACACGCGCGCGCGTACGCACACGCACACAACACACGACACAACACACAACACACAACACACAACACACAACACACCACACACAATACACACAACATACGCACACACACATCAATGCACAACACAACACACACACACACTCAAACAACACACAACACACAGCACACAGCACACAGCACACAACACACACACAACACACATACACACACTTCTGGGCGGTAGCAGCCTCGCGCGCGGCGACGAGACGGAGTAAGTCGAAGCACCGGAGCGGGCGCGCGCGGCTGGGCCCTCAAGCGAGATCGACACACACACACAGTCACACACTCACAGACACAGACACAGACACAGACACAGACACTCACACACACACACGCATACACACACGCACACACACACACACGCACGCACGCACGCACACACATAATACACACACAACACACACAACACACAACACCCACCCAGCACACAACACACAACACACAACCCACAAAATACAACACACAGCACACACCCCCCCCCCACACACAAACACACTCACACACACGCACGCACGAACGCACGCACGCACACGCACGCACGCACGCACGCACACACACACACGCACGCACGCACGCACGCACGCACTCACGCACGCACGCATGCACGCACGCACGCACGCACGTACGCACGCACACACACACACGCACGCACGCACGCCCACGCACGCACACACACACACACACGCACGCACACGAACGCACGCACACCCACGCACCCACCCACCCACCCACCCAACCACCCACGCACCCACCTACCCACCACCCACCCCCCCACCCACCCACCCCACGCACACACACAACACACACACCACCACACACACACACACACACACACACACACACACACATACACACACACACCACACACACACACACACACACACCACACACACACACACCACACACACCACACACACCACACCCACACACAACACACCGCACACACCACACACACCACACACACCACACACACACTCACCACACACACCACACACACACACACACCACGCACACAGCACACTACCCAACCACCCACCACCCACCCACGCACGCACGCACGCACGCGCGCACGCACGCACGCACGCACGCACGCGCGCACACACACGCACACACACACACGCACACACAGACAAACACACAACACACATAAAACACACACACAACACACTCACCACACACAAACACACACTTCACCACACACCACACACACCACAAACACCACACACACGCCACACGCACCGCACACACCACACACACCACACACACACCACACACACCACACACACACCACACACACACCACACACACCACACACACACCACACACCACACACACACCACACACACCCACGCACACCACACACACCACACACACCACACACACCACACACACCACACACACCACACACCACAGACAGCACACACAATACACACAGCACACACAACACACACCACACACAACACACAACACACACAACACACACAACACACAACACACAACACACACGCACACCACACAACGCACACAACACACAACACACAACAAGCAAAACACACAACACACACAGCTCACACAACACACAGACAATACACAGGCAACACACACAACACACACATCACACACAACACACAACACACAACACACAACACACAACACACACATTACACACAACACACACACAACACACAACACACACAACACACACAACACACAATACACAACACACACACAACACACACACAACACACAACACGCACAACACACAACACACAACACACACGGCACACGCACACGCACACACACACATTTCCCAGGCGCCGTGCCATGCGCGCAGTTTCTGGCACTTTCTTGCGCCCCTTTCTTCGGCCTTGCAGGGTTGACGCAGACAAGCACGTCTGCCACGCCACGTGTACACTTCGCGCCGCTCTCCTGCGCCCTGGGAGGCATGTCGGGTCCAAGGGAGTGGTGAGACTTGGCGGCGCGCCTGCGAACTTTGAAACGTCCCTGCACGAATCAGGTGCCCAGAGAAGCCCTCGTCATCCTTGCATCACGTTGATCATCGCCATCGATGCTGTCCTGTGTGTGCTCCTCATCGTCGTCTTCGTCTTCGCCCACCCCCTCTCCTCATCTTCTCTTCCTCTTCAGCCCTCCCAAGGATGTTGGCGGTTCGGCTGGTCTGGTTGTTTCGCAATCGTTTGCATTCGATCACTTCGCTTCGGTCGGTTGGTATTCTACTGTGGTGCTCTAGGCTGCATGTTGTCTTTCGGTCCGGTCCGTTTCGGTGTCGTTGCGGTGTTGGTTTGTGCATGTGCTCGGTTCTGTTTTGCCGTGGACACGAATGGCACGTATCCGCCTCTACGCGCCCCCCAGCCACAAAGACATACATACATACAGACACCCTGCGATATATTGTTCTTGGGCGTCAGGGGAGGGTGGCGGTGTACAAATCACCACCGAGCAAGCGACTTTATGCACCCCCACTTCCCTCCCTGAAGGTACATGCAAATTTTGGCGAACCCCCCGCTCCCTGTCAGGACGCGGTGCTCTCCATCCGCCTCGGCTCCGTGAGGAGGCAGGCCACCGTGCGAGCTGCCCGAGACCACCCGCTGCGCTTCCCGGTGGGGCCGGAGGCGCCCGCCCCCGCGCCTGGGCGAGGCGCAGAAGAGTGCTTTTTGGCTGGAGCGGCCTTCCCCCGGACCCCCTTCGGCATCACCGAAGCATGCTCGTGTCCGAAGGAGAACGTGTGACACCAACGTGCACTTTCGGAGCTCCTCGCGGATTTGTTTCAGATCTGCGTTGGAGCCCCGTGGCGGCGCCTCCCGCGTCGCCCCTGGCGCAGATCCAAGCATTCCGTGCGGACCTCCGAGAGTTGTTGTTTCTGCAGTTGTTTTGTTCTCTATTCGTATACTATATATATATATATATGTGTGTGTGTGTGTGTGTGTGTGTGTGTGCGTCTGCACCTCTTGGGCGACGCGCGCCTTGAGGAATCTTATAGTTATGATCGGCGGCGTGCGCATTCTGACCGTACTGCCTGGGCAACGACATGCCACAATATGTTTGTGCTACATGCTCGGTTCGGACGCGCGCCTCCAAGAGGGGGTGCGCAATACTAGTATGTCATCCTGCGTCATCCCCCCGCCGCCCATCGAGTTGCCAGAATCATAGATCGGCGAGGGTAGGGTTCGGGAGTCGTCGAACGCGTGGCGAAATCCGAACCCTACCCCCGCGTCCTATCGATTCAGGGGAATCGATGGTTGAGGGGGTAGGGTTTCGATGTCGCCACCTGCCTCGGGTCATGGCAAATCCGTACGGGCTTCGCCCTCTGCCGCCGGCCCCCCGCTTTGTCTTCGTGGGCTACGTCAGAGCTGTATTGGGATGTCTGGGTGCTGCCTTGAAACGATACTGGGACAATATGCGAGGGCAGCGGACGATTATCATAACATGCTGATATTTTGAAGTTCTTGTCTAACGCTTCGTTGTTTTCTTGAAGCTTTTTCCCCATGTCGTGTATTGGAGGCCCTCTTGGACCGACTGGGTGTTGCCTGAGGCTGTCTTGGGCCAAATCGCGCGGGTTGGACTGTCTCTGCGTTCCGTGCATCTCTGCTATTTTCGAAGCTTCGTGGCTTCGGGTCCAGAGGCGAACTTTCAGGAACAGAGTGACCTACAACGAAGCTTTTTGCATTCGTTGTAGGGTGGGGGGTAGTCCTTGGGATGTGGGGGGTGGGAAGCCGCCACGAAAGGAATCCCTTTTGTATTCCATCACAGAAGGAATCTCTTTGTATTCCGCCACAAAAGGAATTCCTTTGTATTCCGCCACAAAAGGAATTCCTTTGTATTCTGCGCACCCCCCCGACCACACGCCGCGCCCTCGGCACGCCGGTCGCGCAGCAGGCCCGCCCCCGGCAGCGCGAGGAGGCAGCCGCGGGCACCATCCAGTGCGCCCCACGAGGGGGTCGCGCCCCCGAGGGGCCGAGGAGGAGGAGGAGGAGGAGGAGGAGGAGGAGGAGGAGGAGGAGGAGGAGGAGGAGGGGGAGGAGGAGGAGGGGAAGGGGGATGGGTACGATGAGGAGGAGGAGGAGGAGGAGGAGGAGGAGGAGGAGGAGGAGGAGGAGGAGGAGGAGCTGGGCCTCGCCTCAGTCGGCGGCCCGTCGGGCGCGGGGCGCTGGGCCTTGAACCCTCGCGCGTGGCCCGCCCCGGGTGCGCGGCCTGCCGTCGCGCAGGAGGAGGAGGAGGAGGAGGAGGAGGGGGAGGAGGGTTTGTTTGGATAGGGAGGAGTCTTCTTCGGCGGCGTGCGTCGAAAGGGCGGCGGTAGCCAGCGCCGGGATGGCGAAGGGCGGCTCTGCCGGCGGAGGTCGGCGGGAGGCCCGCGGAGTCCGGCGGCCAGGGTCCAAACGGTTGCGGACGATGGTTATGATGATGATGATGATGATGCTGATGATGATGATGATGATGATGATGATGATGGTGGTGGTGGTGGTGGTGGTGGTGATGATGATGATGATGATGATGATGATGATGATGATGATGATGATGATGATGATGATGATGATGATGATGATGATGATGATGATGATGATCGGCGCGGGCCCTCGCACCCCCCCCTCCCCCCCCCATGGAGTAGATTTTGGCTGTTTTGGGCGCCTGTCTCGAGCAGGTGGAGTCTCCCCCATCGGACGCGCTGCTGCAAACAGCCGCTCTGAGCAGAGGTCCAGAGCCAGACCCCTCCCTCCCCCCCATTTCCGCCCAATGCCGAAACGCCGAATAAGAAAACGTTCACATGACGACCATGTTGACGACGCTGACTCTCACGAGGCTACGGTCGTGAATTTGGAGCGTTTTCGAAGTCCGAGGTTCGAGTTTCGACGTTTTCGGGCGTTCTCGCTGGTTCGCGGCGGTTTTCCAGCCTGGGGATGCTCTTCAGCTGCGCATCGCCGAGGGCGTCCGATGGGGTGTCCAGATCGTCCCGAACGGCCACTGGAGACCCGAGTTATGGCCCGAAACCAAGGGGCAACGTCACAGGGGATGCGGTGAGGAGTGCGAGCAACAGAGATCCGAACAGTTTTCAGAGCCCCTAATGGTTGAGTGAGGAGCGTGACGAACACAAGTGTAAAGACAAAGATTTGGTCGCACACGCCTCAAGGGTCGGCGGATTGTCGTGCTCTGGTGGCCCACGCTGGGCCGGGGACCGTCGGAAAACGACTCGGGGTGGAAACCCGGTCCAGGGGAATGATTGGTGGCGCTCCCTGGGCCCCCCCCAGGTGTCTTCCTCCCAGCCGAGACCTGTGCCAAAACGTGAGGGGGCGGGCCGTTTCAGAAGGCTCGGACGTCCTCCGGCCTGCTGAGAAGTGTTTAAAGCCTTCCCCGGAGACACGGAACATTTGACAGAATGCCAGAGGGCTCGTGAGACGCCCCGCTGTCTGCTGAGAAGGCCTGCTCCTCTCCCTTCCCCAACCCAGGCGCGCCGCCAAAAGGGATCCAGACCCCGGGGGGGTCCAGGTTCTGACCGGATCACGCCATCGAGGGTTTGTGCCGAGATGCGGGCGCCGCATCTCTTGTTGCGCGAGGCCCTGGAGCTCAACGTCGGGCCACGGGGCCCGATCCGACGCGGGTGGTGTCGCAGGGGCTCCGGGGCTTGAGTCTTCACGATGTTGTATTGCGACGGCCTTGCGGTACGGCCAGCGCCGCCGACCCTGAAGGCGGGACCCCCCCCGATCCCCGCTGGCGCCACCCCCGGGGCCCTTCTGGAGCCCCGCGGGGGCGGCATTCTGACCCGCCGTCCCCTCCACTACCCACCCGCTTCCCCAGCTCCCCCCCCACCCACCCCCGCTGTGAAGAAGATGGTAGAGAAGAGTGTGTGGTTGTTGGCTCAGTGCCCTGTGTGCTGTTTGATTAGACGCGGCTGTCCAAACGCCCCTGGAACTGAAATTGACCCCCCCACCCTACCCCCACCCCGGCTTGGAAGGGAAAGGGAAGGGGCTTCCCTTCGACTGAAATTTCTGTGGGGCTGACGACGAAGACGAAGACGACGACGACGACGACGACGACGACGACGACGACGACGACGACGACGACGACGACGACGACGACGACGACGACGACGACGACGACGACGACGACGACGACGACGACGACGACGACGACGACGACGACGACGACGACGACGACGACGACGACGACGACGACGACGACGACGACGACGACGACGACGACGACGACGACGACGACGACGACGACCGACGACGACGACGGGGTCTTCCACACGCCGAAGGGTCGCCGGATGTTTCTTCGCCATAGATCCCAGAGGAGTGTCCTCTTGCTAGGGTGGCCTTCCCAGATCTCCAGCGGTATGGCGTTGTCAATCCCTGCGTGTTCTTTTACTTTGATTTCAGTTCCCAGGTGCAGTATTCGGCCCCCGCGAAACACAGGACGTACGCGCACGCATGAAACCCCACGGGATTCAGAAGAGCGCATCACGCGATCGTTCGCGTCATGGGTGCGGCCTGGCAAACGCAGGCGTCATACTCATTTTCGGTAGGCTCGTTACGGTTGATCGCCTCCAGCGGCCCAGAACCAGTTGCTATCGATGGACCTGCGCTATCGGGAAGCCGCGATCTCTCAAGACTGATCCCTCTTTGCGGGTGTCAGAAACCAGCGCGCAAGTCGTCACGGCACGCACCCGCTTTGTGGAAGTCACCGGGTCCCCGCCCCCTTTCCCTCGGTAGTATCTCATGGGGTCCCCGTGTGTCCTGGAGATGCAGCTTTTAGAATGCACTAGCGTGCGATAGCGTTTGGTAATGGATGAACAACGCTGCTTCAACGTCGGTTGGCGTTGATCTGGTGTCGGTTCGCGTCGGTTAGCGCCGATTAGCGTCGATCCGCAAGCGCCAGCAAGATGACATGGAAGGCTCCTACGAGTTGCCACAGAACCTGCCGCCCCCCTCCACCCTCTGCTCCGTGGCCAATGGCCTCATCACGTCTGCGCTTGTCCCACCTTTCCAGACCGAGGGTGATGAGGAGGGCGTCTGCCTGCGACGTGGGGCCGAGGTCGTCGCCGTCGCCTGGGGAGGAGGAGGACAGGAGGAGGAGGAGGAGGAGGAGGAGGAGGAGGAGGAGGAGGAGGAGGAGGAGGAGGAGGAGGGGAGGCAGGCAGAGAGGGAGGGCGGTAGTGGTGCAACGGTGGCAGAGGGAGGGCGGACGGAGGAGGAAGGACCTTGGTGGGAGAGGGACGAGAGGATCATGGAGTGTGAGGAGGCGGATGACTGGAAGAGGGCGAGAGAACGGCATGCTTTTGGAAGCCGGACGCGGCTTCAAAACAAGACGCGTGTTCTGGGAATTCTATTTCGATATCGAAAGCGCGCAGTTCTCTCAGGACCTGTTGTTTGAATACCTCGGGTTTTATTTGTTTGACAACGGGTTTGACTTTTAAAAGCACGCGGCTCTCTTCAAGGGTGACGAGCAGCACGATGCGCATCGATGAGCACGTCGAGCGGAAGGAGCAGGTGGCGGTGGTGGAGCGACAGCAGCAGGGGAATGTACATGGAGAGTCTTTCCCTGTGCGCGTATGTGTCGGCCTCCCTTGACATCCGATGCCGTAGTTTGTTTCACAACGTGGGGTCCCCACAGGTTTGGACCCCTTTCCTGCTTTTCATCCTGAGCCGTTCCTGTTGACGGTCCTGGGGGCCGAGATTAGCCCACAGAGGCTGAAGGGCGCGAAACACGTCCGTTCTGATTTGTTCAGGGCGTTGGGTGCCTGGGCCGCCCCTTGCCGTGGAGTCGTTCAACGAGCCCGCCAAGATAGATGTCCTGTCCCTCGTCGGCAGCCAGAGGCTCGCTCTCCAGGCCGCAAGCGGCCTCAGCTCCTGCCAAGAGGTGGCCCTTTGGGGCGGGAGGAGGAGGAGAAGGAGGATGAGGAGGAGGAAGAGGAGGAGGCAAGACGGCAATTGCCGGCCACGTCGATTCTGTAACAGACTTGGAACCCAGCTCTTGCGAGGATCTGTGTGTGCGACGGGGACGGAGAGGGCCCTTCTGGGTTGGAGGTGATGGAGGAGGAGGAGGACGAGGAGGAGGAGGAGGAGGAGGAGGAGGAGGAGGAGGAGGAGGAGGAGGAGGAGAGGTAGAAGCGGATCAGGGGTATCCGCAGACGCCATCGCGTCTTGATTGCTCCAGACGTGCCCAACCCATATGCAACAATGACCATAGTCTTAGGCTCGCTTTATGCTGATGGTAACGTGCCAGAAGACGCAATGTGTTATGAAAGCTGCTTGAAGGGCTCACGCGTTCTACGATTCACAGGAACTCCTCCTCCTCCTCCTCCTCAAAATGATTCTTTCTGGTCGCCTGAAAGGCGTGCGTAAGGGAGGGATGGGTCCCGATGGGCCACCGTTTTGAACCAGCAATTTGTTGCGACGGTTTCGCACTTGGCAGTTGGTAGCCTCCCAGAGAGAGGGATGTGGTCTGCGTGACAGCCCACTCTGCTGAACCTATCAGGAGCCCATGCATTTGCAACAGTTGCGCAGTTGGCAGCCCCCCAGGGGGCAGCGAGGTCTCGCATGGGTCTGCGTGACACTCCACTGCACTGGACCTCCCAGGAGCTTATGAAAGTGGCGACGGTTGTGCAGTTGGCAGCCCCCCAGGGAACCGCGAGGTCTCGTCTGGATCTGCGTGACAAACCACTCCGCTGGACCTCCCAGCAGCCCACGAAACGGGCGACAATTACGCAGTATGTTGCCCCACAACAGGGCACGTGGGAGGAAGGGGGCAAGGATGAGGAGGAGGAGGAGGAGGAGGAGGAGGAGGAGGAGGAGGAGGAGAAGGAGGAGGAGGAGGAGGAGGAGGAGGAGGAGGAGGAGGAGGAGGAGGACAAGGACAAGGGCATTCTCACAAAGGGGGCGTAACGTCAGAGCGCCTGCTCGGGCGACCTGCGCGCTTTTGCCAACATCCCCTGCGATTTGCTGTGCAGCGGCCCTGCTTTCTCACTAGGGCCGGCAGGGGGCATACCCCGTAGCTCAAGGACCGAGCTCCGAGGTGGCCCCGTAAGAGACGCTCGCTGCCTTACATCACGAGTCCCATCGGGTCAGTGCGGGGGGAGCAGCTGCTGGCCCTGCCGCGTGCCCTATGGGGAGGGGACGCGCGGGCTTAGCAGGGCGCCCACGCCAAGGGGGAAGGAAACGACGACACGACCTCAAAGGGAGGAGAGGGGGGGGAGAGACGGACGGTCCGAGACCCCAGACTGTTTCTGGGGGGCTGCTGCCTCTACAGTTATGATTCCGTGCTCCCCTCTCCCGTTCAGCTCACTTCTCGGTCGTTCCGAGAGATGCTCCATGTATTGTCATATCTGTACTCTGGTATCTTGAGAAGTAGCCCGAGGTTCCCCTTCGGAGTATGTGCGGTAGAGCATACTGGAAATCACTTCCATAGGTAGGGCCAATGAGGAGCACACTGGTGGGCTTCTTGATGATCATTGTTTTCTCCTTCCACACCCTGCAGTCGTGTACCTGATGGTACTTACAAACATACTTCCCATTGCGATGGCGATGCACGCGCACTGTTGTGCCCATAATGTCTGTCATGAGTTGCACTCCGAGAAGCCTCGCTAATGCTCTTCCTGACTGCCTGTTGGGCACGGGGGAGGAGGAGGACGTGGAAGAGGAGGAGGAGAGCGATGGGGGTGGAAGAGGGGGAGGAGGAACGTTGGAGCAGCCAGTGTTTGATCCAAAACGAGGAGTGGGACGGAGCACTTGTCGTTTTTCTTGGCCTCCAGGATTCCTTGTCGGGCCCTGGGGTCATCAAAAAAGTATCAGGATGAATAAGGCGTCCAGGGGAAGGGTCCAGACTTGTGTGTGCTTGTGGGTCAGAGATGCGTCCTCTCTATTGAATGGGGACAGGGGGGGTTGATAAGTCGCCTGCGCAAGGCAATCTTGACCGCAACCGCGGGGGGTGCAGCTCACCAGAGACATGGTACTGACCGTAATCGCGGTGAACAACTCACCAACACAATCTGATCTTGCTCTCCCATCTTGTGTTCCCTTTTTGCCGCCCCCTCCTGCCCATCCAAAAGTTCTGATCCCCAGGGTGCACACAAGTCCAGACCTCCCTGGGTCCACGGTGTGAACAGGTCACGGCGCCCTTGGTGTGGTGCCCATGCTTGCGGAGGTGCGGAGGCAGAGAAGCAGCAGGGCAAGGGGGGGCCAACCCCTGCCTCGTGCTCTGATCTTCTCGGCCTCTCTCTGTCCCCGGAGGTGCTGTGATGCAGTCCTGCGTGAGTGCTTCGGACTCTCCGTGTGGCTTTGGTCCGGTTGGCTCGTGCTGAGTTGGTGGACGGTGTATTCGCTGTTACATGGTTCGAGAACGCAGCATCGCGCTTCGGCGGTCACAGATTGCCGCCCATGGAGTTCATTGTCGCATCCGCGTGGTCCTCCTGTTCTTCATCTTCTTGTGTTTCTCCTCCCCCGTAGGTATGCTTTCTCAAGCCGCGTCGTGTCGGCATATTTTACATTACCGGACCAATGTGTTTACGTATATGTTTGGTGCCCGCCCTTCTGGGGGCTGCGGTATCGTTGAACGCTGGTAATTTCGAGAGCGCGGGCGCGATCGACGTCGACGCCGATAACGCAGCAGGGCGGCGGCCGGCGGCAAGGAGAAGTCGTCGCGATGCCATCTCCGCGGAGACGCTCCGAGACGCGGTGCGAGCTGTCGAGGCCGAGGCGGCGCGCGTGCACGGCGCGATAAAGCACTTTGGCACTCTGCGCGGACTGGACGGGCATGCCCTCGCGAGCATGTGGTCTCAGGCCTTCCCCTACTCGGCGAGCCAGACGCTCTCCCTCTTCAGGGACGACGGCACCGTCTTCGTCTCCACCGGCGACATCGGGCAGATGTGGCTGCGGGACAGCTCCGTGCAGCTGGAGCCGTACGTCCCACTGGCTGCCAGGAGCGAGGCGGGCAGCCCCTTGCGGAGGGTGCTGGAGGCCGCCATGTCGAGGCAGATCCGCTTCATCAACAGCTCGGGGGGGGGGCCGTCAGCCGAGGCCACCTCGACGATCAGGGCCTGATCGATCCTGGGGCCCAGAGCGGTGTCTGGTTCCCCCTCCTCCTCCCGTCGTCCTCCTCGTAGTTTTGTTCCGTGTCTCGCACTGCGTGTACCAAGGCAAGCCAGATGCTAGAGGCCACGGCCTCGCCCACCTGGTCCTGAGCTAGGCCCAGACACCGTTCACAACGGTGGTCGCATCGCATCCTCGTCTGTCGTTCGTCCGTCGTCGTGTCGGTTCTTCACCACCCACCAAGCCGCCCCAAGCCAACCCGACGGCCGCAATGTGCCCTCCATTTGCAGCGGGGGTGGGTCGGGGAACATTGAAGAAACACATGGAACCCGTACAGTCAAGACGCTGAAATAAGGAACAGTTTGGGTTCGGAAGAGGCTCGATGTTCCTCAGGTTCCTCCAGTGCTGTTCCTCTTGCCCTCCTGGGGCACGGAGGCGCTTACAGGGCCAAGAAGGGGCTTCGTTCCTTATTTCGCGTTCCTTCTTTCAGCGACCCGACTGTATCCCCCCCCAACCCGAAATTGGGGCTCCTCCTGCCCTCGTGAAGCAGTGCCTGCTCCTGCCTGGCCGGGCCAGGAGGGCGCACACACACACCGACCCTGGGCCTCCGGGCGGGCCTGTCCAGGATCGGGGGGGGTGTTTCGGGGGCGGCCCAGAGGGGGGTGATGGCCTGGGGGGGGTGGATCTATCTCATGGCGGGGGCCATGATATCTCCCCCAATTTCATGGCGCCTCTTCTTATTTCGACGCGTCCCCGGACCCCCCCTCTGGGCCGCGCACGTGCCGCCGACCATGATTTGCGCACCCCCCTCTTAAACGCCCCCCTTTTGGACGCCCCCGACTGTTCGATGGCCCTCCCCCGAAGAGCGATCCGTACGCGTCCGCCTTCTACCCCACGAAGGGTCACGGCCCGGACGCGGGCCCCAACAAGGACTTCGGAAGCTTTGAGATGGGGGTCCATGCAAACGGGGGTCTGCCAGAACGCCCGACCTTGAAGGATCCTGCAGGGCCAGGGTCGCATTGACCCGGGCTTGGGTGCAGGATCCTGCACGATCCTTGAGGATCCTTCGCATTGACCAGGGTTTGGGTGCAGGATCTTGCAGGATCTTGCAGGATCCTGCAAGTCCTGACCGACCAGGGTCTGGATTGACCTGGGTCAGAAGATCCCCGAGGACTCGTGCCCGCCGAGCGCTGGTTGCGCGGAGTGCCACTGCCTCAAGTGCGCCCCGCAGTGCGGCGACTACACCTACCAGAAGGACTACGAGCTCGACGCCCTCCTGTTCCCGCTGATGCTGCATCACAGGCTGGCGCGGCTTCCGCTGTCGGGCGACGAAATCTATACATATCCACTGCTCCCTGACCATGCCCATCTTGAACCCAGGAGCTGTGTATGCGCCCTCCTGGCCAAGCCAGGAGGGCGTGGCGTATACACCGCTGCGGGGTTGAGGATGGGCCTGGCCAGGGAGCAGTGGATATGTATAGATTTCGTCGCCCTACGCTGGCGCACAGGCAGCCATCCCCCCGGGCACTCCCGGCGGACCTCGACAGGCCCCCCGGCTGGTGCCGGGCGGTCCCAACACCCTGGCGCCGCCTCCCGCGGCGCCCCTGGGGCCCTGGGGCGCCCCGCGGCCCAGGGTTGGGGTGCCGAGACCGCCCCTCAATAGACTCCTCCTCCTCCTCCTCCTCCTGTCCGTCCTCCTCCTCCTCCTCCTCCTCCTCCTCCTCCTCCTCGGGGGGCCTCTCGATGTCAGCTGGGTCTACCTGGTGGGGCTGATTGCGCGCAGCCAGAAGCCTTACCAGCACAGGTACTGGAAGGAGACCGGGACGGTCTCGCATCTCAACGTGGAGTTCGAAGAGGCCCTGCGCGCTACCCTGCGCCTCCTGCGCATCGAGCAGATGCATTTCTCCAAGTCGGAATATTTTTACAAACCGCTGAATGGGCAGTTCAATGAGGGCATAGGGTTAGTGTGGTCGTTCGCGATGCCCAGCGACGACCAGGTGATGGCTGGCTACAACATCCCTCAGAATATCATGGTGGTGGTGGCTCTGCGTAGAGCCGCGGAGATGGCGAAGGGGCCGATGAAGGATGCCGATCTCGCGTCGGAGCTGGAGGAAATGGCCAGCATCGTCGAAGAGGCTTGAAGCCATCTGGGGGTCTGAGATGGCCGAACACCGGTTCCGGCCAGCAGGAAGGTGGGGCGTGTGCCAGGTTCTGGGTTCGAGAAGGTCTGCTGCCGTTTTTTCGGCCTCTGGGGCCGTGTTCGGGCCGGGGACCGTCAGAGACGGATCCGGGATGGAGAACTGCACCCTATGGGCTCCGGGAGGGTTTCTGGGGACCGATTTGAGCCGATTTGGCTTCATCCTCCGTCCTGGCCGATGCTCTGGGGTCCCAACTTGTTCAGACCTCCTGGTCGCCTCCCAGCAGAGGCAGTGCGCAAGTATGGCGTCGTCGAGGACGCCCGCGGCAACAAGATCTACGCATTCCAGGTCGACGGCTGGGGCAACGCTACATCGATGGACGACGCCAACATGCCCAATCTGCTCTGGCTGCCTTACCTGGGCTACGCAGATCCCGCCGGCCTCTACGAGCCGACCCGCAGGTTCGTCCTGAGCGGCGAGAACCGCAACTTCTTTTCGAGCGGCGCGAACCACACGGGCCTGGAAGGCCTGGGGTCGCAGCACGAGAGCCACGGCCTGAGGCTCCTCCACGGCCCCGAGTGTCACGGCAAGTGCCTGTGGCACCTCGGGCTGATCATGCAGGGCATGACTGCAGACAACGAGGATCGAACAACAGAGAAGTTTGTACAAATACTTTCTCGGAGCTCCGCGCAAAGTTCTTGGAATCGGCGCTGGGCCCCCCTGGCGGTGCCTTCGGCGCCGCCCCTACAACGCTCCGCGCGCCAGGGAGGGGGGTCGCCGATCCAAGAAATCCTCGCGGACCTCAGAGAAATCATGTCTATGTCGCTTCTAGGCCCTCCAGAGGAGGAGCGGCGCCACTGCATGGAGCAGATCCTGACCTCGAATTGCGGGACGAACAAGCTGCACGAGGGATTCTCCCTCGAGAACCCCTGCAAGTACAACCGCGACGGCTTCGGATGGGCCAACGCGCTCTTCTCGGACTGGGTCCTGCGCGACTGGGTGGGCCCAGATGCACGCAGGAAGGCAGGTGGACATGTCTGGCCTGTCGGATCCAGTCCGTCAGCCCCGCGGAGATATCTTAGAAGAAGGGGGGGAACGGCTGAAAAAATGACGTGGTGACAAGAACGACCAAATTAGAAAGAACAAACATCCCCTTCGGGTATTGGGTTCAAACTTTCCCCGGCACCGCCCCAGCGGGAAGGCTTGTTGAACATACAATTTAAGGCTGGGTGGAGGGGCGTCACGTGAGGTGGTTTCCCAACGTTTGTGACAAAGGTTTCCCTCAACTGAATAATCAGATATGTGGTAATGTTGGCTTTACCTGGGCGTCCAGGGGTCACCCTGACGTGCTATTTTGGAGGTAGTGCTTGAGGAGGGCGCAAGCAAAACGCTTTGAAACATCTCTTGGCCTTGGTACCGCTCTTTGGTTGCTCGGATTCTAGCTATCCTGCGGAGCGTCTGATGGCTCTCTCGGCCTCCTGGACACCGTCTGGACAGTATCTCGTGGCACGTTGAGGTTGAGGAATCATGGAGGTGGAGGGCAAGGGAGGACGAAGAAGTGGGAGAGACGGAGTAGTACGAGGAGAGGGGCAGGAACAGGAAGCATGGAAACGCCAGACGGGAGGAGGTCGAGATCTCCAGAGGCCCCTGGAGGTCTCAGTAGGCTTGTGGAGGCTTGTCGAATGTCAGAAAGGTCAGGAACGTCGAAGAGAGGGGGGGGCAAGAGGAGGAGCCCTGAGATCTGGCGTCCCGGAAAGATTGTAGCATCGGGAGAAGTGACAGAAACCCTGGATTGGGCTTCACGGGAAGGGAAAGCAAACATTGAGTGGGTGATCAATCGAATTTCTAGGAGTTCTGGCGGCAGAGAATGTTAAGCAAGACGGTGCTGCAGCAGATGGTAGAACATATGTCCGCAAGGGTTGGTCGATTAGTTGGTTTATTTGATGTTTGATTGATTCGTTAGTTCGCTGCTTGGTCGGTTGGCTGCCATGGGGCGCGCCATGGGCTGTGCGATCCACTGGCAGCGCCATAGGTTGTGTGACCCCTGCGTAGCGCCATGTGATGCGGCATCAATGGGTTGCGCCAGAGGTTGTGGGATTTATGGGCGTCGCCATCTGTGGGTTCCACTATGGTTTGTTTGCGCAAGCCATGTGTAGCGCCATGCTCCGCCCATGGGCTGTGACAAAGGTTGTGCACTCGGCAACCAAGATGAATGCTGCACAGGTTGCGCAATAGGATGCGCGTTCGGCGGCCGAGAACACAGCTGCTTGCCGTCGGTTGCGCTATAGGATGCGCACTCGGCGGCCGGGCGGCCGAATATACAACGGCCTCCTGACGGGTGCGAATAGTCAGTCAGTCACCCCATTGCACATCGTGAGAAAACATATTCGTGTGACGCTTGAAAAACGAGCATACAGGGCCAGGCAATAGTAAGCGATACGAAGCAATCATGTCAGGCAAGAGCAGCTAAGAGCACACACTTGGTAATGTACCAATCAATTCCAGGGAAGAGGCACACTTTCCACATGAGAGAAATGTGCCATGCAACACTAAACAATCAATAAGGACACTGCGGCAAGCACGCCAAGCAGAAAGAGGCAGCATGCGGCACAACGACAAGACAATGCCTGGCAAGAAGAGATAACATAAGCCAACGCACCAGGCAACTCGAGGCAAGGAGCATGGCAAGCAAGACCCGGACATGAGGAACATCCAGAACACATGTATCAATAGTGTTCAGCATAAGGAAACATTACCAGGCAAGACGCGGCGCGATCAATTAACAGTGTCAAGCTGGACCAGGCGTAGCCATTCAACCAGAGACATCCTGGGGCAAAGGGAGCAGAGAAGACCAGGGAAGAAGAAACAGCACTGAACAGAAATACCGGGCAGGAAGGGCAGACACCCCTGGCATGCAGGGGTCGGGAGATGCGATGCTGTTCGCACCGTGAGGCGGCGCTGCGGACGCTCCGACGCTGGCGCAACCTCCTCCTCCTCCTCCTCCTCCTCCTCCTCCTCCTCCTCCACTGCCTCCACGTCCTGCCCGCCATCCTCCTCCTTTTTCCTCCTCCTCCTCCTCCTCCTCCTCCTCCCTCCTCCTCCTCCTCCTCCTCCTCCTCCTCCTCCTCCTCCTCCTCCTCCTCCTCCACTGCCCTCCCTTATCCCTCTTATCTCCCGCGCCGGGCTCCGGCCTCTCCCCCTGCAGAGATGGCGAGAGGCAGGCTGTCGCCGCCGTCGTGCTACAGACAGTTGTCTAACTGGACTGGGAACAGCGTTGGTTTGGGCCTTTGTTGCGTGTTTTCGTTCCGTTTTTCGGTACTGCTTTGCTTCGTTGTTTGCTTGCGTTTTAAACTCCACCAGCTTCGTTTTAAACATTCGCTTGAATCGTCGGGTTTCGTTTTGCTATTCGTTCTAAATGCCATGTCGTGCTCCACATTTTTATGGTCGGCATGTTTCCCGTAAGCTATCAATTGATCGATGGATCACCCTTTCGTTTGTGTACAACGTTTTGCGGTGATGCGCGAGATGGCGGGACAGAGTATCTTGAGGCAAAATGGCGACGTGCAGAATTATCGTCTGCCAAGTAATCGAGCATGGGGACATTCCAGGACAAGTGGTCTCTTACAATGCGGTTGAGGAGCACACGAAACATTCGGGCCCCTTTGCATCGGTCCGCTGCCAGATGCGGTCGAGCGACCCATGAAGAAAGCAGCCTGTCTTTCCCATAGTCAGGACGACCAAGTCCGAAGATATCGACGCCGAGCGGGCGCGGTTTCCCAGTTTCCCCAGATGAGCCCGGATTCTCAGGGCTTCCGACGTCGTGATGCTTTCCAGGTGAGGCCGAGGGAGGCATCGGCACCTTCCTGGGGACTTGTTCGTCGACCTGGATCGTCTTGTGATGATTGTCACTGGGGCCCGAAGCAGGCAGTCATGGGAAGAGTGTAGCTCGCTCCAGAGTGTTCTGGAACTCTCTGGTACGGCTGCTGCGCCCGACGCCTCCTCCAGCCCCGCCAGCCCTCTCATATACCTCGAGCTAATTGTTTCTGCCAGAGGATTCTTCCAAAAAGCCTCCCTGAGGAAGGTTTTGAGGAGGTTTTTCGCAGGATTCTTTCAACAAAACCTCCCTGATAAAGAATTTAGGACGTCTTTTTTACGAGGATTCTTCCAACAAGCCTTCCTGAGGAAGGTGTTAGGAAGATTTGTTGAACATGATTCCTCCAACAAGAACCTTCTCGAAACCTTCCTGAGGAAGGTTTTAAGAAGGTTTCTGGGCGGATGCTTCCAAGAAGCCTTCCCGAAGCTTTCAACTATCCCAGGGGCAGAGCGCAGAGAGCCGATGTGCAGTGAATGCCACGGGGTCCCAGGATGTCCTGACCATTTCCCGAGGCCAGTCTTTGTCATCATGAGCAGTTGGTGTTGATTCCCTTAGGGCCCAGCGAGGGCCCCGAAGGACGGCAATGGGGAAAGCTCTGAGCACAGTTGTTCGTTCGGGTGGATCGGAGGTCTGGGAGGAGGGAGAGTGCCCAAGACTTCCTCCGACGACGCGACCTTTCTGATCCGCGGCCCCAGAGGTCCTCACCCATCCCCGAGCGCTGCTCAACGGCGCTCCGACCCCCGTCGCGGCGCGACGACGAGGCGAGGTTGACCCCCGTCGGGGGGGCACCCCCCCCACGCTTATTCCAAAAATGCCCAGGCTCCCGCCCCGGACCCATTCCCGATGGCCCCGCTGCCTGGTATCACGGGCCCCGGAGGTCGAGATATCGTCTTGGAGGACGCCGGAACGGAGCCGAAGCAGGCCGTCGGAGATCTGGGGGGTCGGGGCTGCCTGGGGCCCCTTGCTGGAAGCGCCATGGTCGCGGACGTCTGGGCCTCGATCGAAGAGTAAACAGCAGCGCAAGCAGGTAGGTTCGACGTTCTGCGCGGATCTCTTGGGCCCGCGCTGGCCCCCCCCTGGCGGCGTCTCCGGCGCCGGCCCTGGCGCGCTCCGCACGCCGGGGAGGGAGTTCTAGCCCAGATCCAAGCAAGGCGGGCGGACCGTCGAGAGGTTATGTTTGTGCTGTTATTCTTTCTCTGCTCAAAGTCGCTCGGGGTGGCGTCCTCGGGGCTTCGCTTCTGGCTGGCGTGGTCCCGAGGGCTTCGCTTCCGGCTTTGCTTCCGGCTTCGCTTCCGAGCCCCGAGGGCCGCCCCCCAGAGGTGTCACCGGAGAGGGCTCGAAGGACAGAGCCAGGATCGAGGTTTCGAGGGCTCGACCCTGAGGCCTGGCGCCCAGACAAAGACACAGACAGGAGAGAGGAAACATTTGTTCGATTGTGTTCTGGAGTTGCCGGGCGTCTTTGCTCCAGAAGTGTCGCAGAACGGTGGGGTCTAGGGCCTAGGGCTCCGGCCGTGCTTTGTCCAGATGTTGCAACATCTTCGTGACGTTGGGTTTCAGTGCAGGCCTTTGGAGACCTTCGCAGACCTCCAGGGGCTTCAGTTTGAGACCTCCAGGGGCTTCAGCTTGGACTTCTGGGGATCTGCCCGCGGTGATCGCGTCCGGTGCAGACACTTGCCTGCAGGGCATCCTGGCGGGCTTTTGCGTTATGCGTCAGTAGTGCCACGCAGCACGATGGGGGGCCATCGCTCCCGTGTCGGAACAAAGTTGCCTCAGTGATGCAGGCGTGTTTCTCTCTGGAGCTGAAGTAGCTCAGTTCTGTGCATCGTGCGGCGCTGGCAGCATCCTCATCATCCGCCGCCTCGACGTTCTATCTCTTCTGTCCCCTGCTCAGTAATGATATTTCTCAGCTCAGTCTGTCTTCGCCTCCCGCTGCCCTTACTCCTGCTCCTGCTTCCTCCTACCCGCAAAGGGCGCGTGTGCTCAGTACTCCAGCACAGTGGCCGGCCCAGGCCGTTTTGGTCCTGGGGTGGTGCGCACACACACCCGTGGCTGCGGTCAGAAGGGCGCATGCTTTGCAATGCGTATACCATGCCAGGGCCCAGCATTCAGCGGCGACGATAAGGGCGAATAGCCCAGGGGCGGGCATTACACGCATTCGCCCGGGAACCTTGTCGAAGACATAGATCATCGGCGCCCCTGGATACATGCATTGTTCCCCCCTGGGCTATTCGCCCCTGTTGTCGCCTCCAAAGCGTGGCTTTGGCCTCCTCTTCCACGTCATGCATCCTGGAGGTCCGCAGTTCAGGCCTGGACGTTCGATGTTCGGTGTTGCCGTTCCATAGCGGGGTGCCTGGAAGTCTCGACCCTCTCCTCAGTCAGGAGGGGAAAACACACACAGACACAATTAATCGTCGACCCCCCAGGAAAATATGGGAACATATGGGAAGTGGTGGGGAAGACAAAAACCCAGAAAATATCGGAACCTATGGGGAATCCTGTCACTTGTGTCTATTTATTTAATCGCTTCGCTCATGCCGCCGGCCCTGGAGCCCTCTTTAGGGCCTCTTGGGGGCCTCTTGGGGACCTCTTGGGAGTCTCTTGGGGCTCCTTGGCGGCGTTTTGGAGGCCCCCAGGGCCTCTTGGGGGGCTCTTGGGGGTAGTCGATTGCGGCTCCCCCCTCGGAGGCCACGATCCTCGTGAGGGGTGTCGAAAAATACCCTCCCCTGGAGTGGTCTGGTGGCTTCTCCCGGGCTTCTCTCGGGACCTTGCCGGGGTACTTTTCGTCCGGGGGCCCCCAGGGGCCGCTCCGCGCGCGCGAACTAGAAATATTGTTAACAAGTTACCGGAGATCTTAGCACGCCTCTGGCCCGTTGGGCCGGCGAATTTGTGTGTCCCAGGGCCCCTTCACTCGGGGCTGGCGAGGGTCCGATAGCGGCGAAGCGCATCCAATCCGTTTTCCAGGGCGTCGGAAATTTGGCTCGGCGGTCGGCCCAGAGTCGCCCCGTGACGTGCACGCGAGCACGTCCTCGGGCGCGTCCTGGCCACCATGTTGCTGGACATCTGGCCGTGGCAGAACAGTTTCGAGCCATGCTCTGGCTCTCGAAGTAGGTGCCCATCGGTCGTTGAAAGCAGGTATTTTGGGAGCCCCAGATTCCAATCTGTTTTGGGCGCCTTCCTACTTCAGTGATCCAGTGGCTTCACCTTTTCCGTCCTCTCTAGGGGGCGGGCAGACACCCAATCTATGTTCAACGCCTTCTTCAGGTTCCTATCTACTTCTTCCGACCGATGGGTAAGGGTTCAGGCTGCGCAGAGACAGCCCCTCCAGGTCGTCCAGGCTGGCCTCAGCAGGTCTCCCGAGCAGTCCAGCTGGGCTCCACGGGCAGTGTGTGCGTGATGGCGGGCGCTTTCTGGCCACACCGCTCGGGAAACGATATACTACAATATGGATATACTGTATGTTCAGGTCGGACGCGCGCCTCGGAGGTAGTATGTCCCTGTGCGTCCCCTCCCCCCTCCCCCCAATCAACGTATCGCTCCCCCCCCCCCCCAAAGGCGTCCCGGGGCCTGCCGCTGTGCGTCCGGCACCACAGTCTGTGGTGCCAGGCCCGCACGGCAGGGGGGAGGCGTGACGCCCTGCCCGCCACCTCGCCCTTCCCCCCCCATAACGCCCGCTATCGCTGCGAGTACACCTTGGGCGATGCTTAAGAAAACCTAAGTTTTCGGCCAGAGTCTCGATTATTCTTAATGTTTCAATGTGAATCCCAAGATTTTAGTAGAAGTGTTGGGTTTCTGAGGCTACGAATTTCTTAACCCATGATTTCTTAAGCATTTCGCAGGGTGTAGAAACAAAAGGCTCTCGTGGACGCGCGGCGCCGCCCAGTCCGAGCGGGTGAGCCGGTGCCCGCGGAGGGCGAGCCCAGAGCAGCGGCCTCCCGAAGGGGTGGGTGCCACTTCCCGGCCGCGGCCCTGGGCCGAGCCTTGCGCTGGGTCGCCGGGGAGGGAACCGGCCGAGGTTGTCCTGGAGGCCTTCCAGATTCAGGAGGGGAAAATACACACAGACACAATTAATCGTCGATTCCCAGAAAACATGGGAAAATATGGGAAGTGGGGGGGAAGACAGAAGCCCAGAAAATATGAGAAAATATGGGGAATCCGGTTATTTGTGTGTATTTATTTGTGTGTCCCAGTTCCCCTTCACAGATGTCGTGGGCGAACACATCTGAGCGACAAAAGCGGGTTCAGTTTCGCCGACGTTGGCGCGTGAGTTGCCCGCATGAGGCCGCGCGTGAGCGTCCCCGCTTCCATGGGGGCGAGCCCGGCCGGCGGCCCGCGTAAGCCACCTCGCAAGGTCGTCACGTCACGTCATCTCGCATGAGACCTGTTGCTTTTCGTCGCCCATGTGTCGCCGCGCCGTCCGACGCGCGGCCGCACGTTTTGGGGAAGGCGCTTCGGCCACCAGGGCAAACTCCGCCTCGGACATTAGGTTTGCAGTCAGGTCTGCCGCGGTGCCGGCTTCGTGTGCATGGGCGGGTTCAGAACAAACGGCGCGGCGACATGTCCGGATCCGCGGTTTCGCGGACTGGGCCCCTGCGCCGCGTTCCCGCAGATACGGGGCGCGTTTTCGCGGATGCCCCGTGCGGAGCGTACCCGCGGGACCGCGTATCCAGAGGGCCGCGCCCTGGAATCCGGACCGCGAGGGCGGGGCTGCGGATTGGGCGCGGCTTAATGGGGGGGGCGATGTATGGGGGGGGGTGGGGGAAGAAAGGTGCCCTTTTCGGGCGCCCCTTTAGGGTCCCTATAGAGGGCCCCCCATTTCGGCAGCCCTCGCTGCCCCCCCCCATGTGCCCCCCCCCCATCACTCGCCGCCCAAAATGATGTCTTCGCCGCTCTTGAAGACGGGGCTTCGCTCCGGCCGCGGCGGGCGAGGCCGGAGCCTCCGGGCCGCCCTTAAAAGCCTGGGCCTCTCTCTGCCTCCAGGTCTCCCGGGTGGGGTCGGAGTAGGTCGGGGCCGGAGGGTCGCGCTGCACCGCCGGTGCGTCGGCGGTGCGGCTCGACGCAGTGTCCCGCTTTTTCTCCACGCCGACGTCGCCGATGCGTCGCCCATGCATCGCTGGTGCATGGCCGACGCATCGGTGATGCATCGAGCCGTTCGAGCTCTAGGACGTCTTAGTGTGCAACCTCCAGTCGAGGTGTGGCAGCAGTCCTGGCAGTTCCATGGGTCTGAAGGGCTACGGTGTTTTAGCACCGTGGGTCCGATTTCCCCCCTCCTCCGACCCCCTCCCAGATTTTTTGTGGGGCGGAGGATCGCGCCCCGTCTCCGCCTCCCTCCTCCTCTCCTCCCGTTCCTTTCCTGGGCGCGCCAGCCGCGGCCCCGACGTGGGTCAGCGCTGTCTGCCCACGCGTGGAGCACGCGCGCGCCACGCGCGAAGCACGCACGCGCGGCCTCCGTGCCAGTTCACACAATAATTCACCACCCACCAAACCACCCCAACCCAACCCGAAGGCCCAAATTTGCCCTCGATTTCCAGGGGGGGGGGGGTCGGGAAACATCGAAAAAAAACACGTATGGAACCCTTACCCCCCCCCACCCGAAATTCGGGTCTTCGGGTTGGGTTGGGGTGGTCTGGTAGGTAGTCAATAATGATTGGAACGTCCGGCTTTTTCATGGATGCTGTTCATCCTTGGCCCGGTTTCAGGTGGTTTTCGGACGGGCCTAGAATCGACTACGCGTAAGAGTGACCTTCCGCTGGAGTGGGTTTTGGTGCGGGTCCACCGGGGTCACCCGATCGCCGGCTGCGATGCAGTAATAGCGCCTTGCGCGCTTCTGTTTGGTCCCCCCCCCCGCGGCCTCCAGAAAGCCGCGCACCGAAGGTCACTCTTATCCAGGGTCACTCTTGCGAAAAGCCCCAATCAGTGGACGGTTTTCGCTGAGGAGATCGACCCGGAACCCGGGAGCCCGGCAACCCAGAACCCACCGAAATCGGCTTGGAATCAATGACCCCAGAACCCGGGAACCCAGATCCTGGAACCTGGGAACCCAGCTTGCTACCAAATTCGGCGGGAATGTTCGCCAAGTCTTTCAACTGTCGCTAGGACCCCTTCAGTGCAAGCACTCATATGGGAGTAAACCCGTTCCAAGGCGTTCCTGAACGCTCCCGGAGCGCTCCGGAACGCTCTGAAACGGCCGCGGCGCCCGAGACGTCCTCCAAACCCGCCGTCCGAGTCGCAGACATTGCCGAGTCATCTCGGTCCGATTGCGTCTTCGGTCCTGGCCTCGTCTTACTTCGGGCCCAGAGGCCATCGACGCATCGACCCGGGATGCCACATTTCCCTGGAGAAGGGGTCGCGAGGTCAAGGGCCCCTTGCGTCGCTCCGTGCTGCTGCCCGGCCTCCTCGAAGCCTCGCCTGCGGAAGCCGCAGGGGAAGTGCTCGCAGTACCAGGTCGACCTGGGCCAGGACCGGGCGAAGCCCTTGCCTCCACGAGGGAGCAGCAGCATGGAGGAGGGACGAGGAAGAAATCAGAGGAGGAAAAGGTACCTATACTGCTACCCTTTTCTCATTCTCTCCTTTTTGGGCCTCCTGGGAGGCCCTCGTCGCCACCGCTGGATTCGCCTCGAAATCCTGCTCATAATGCACCCCAGGAGAGGTCTGGGGAGTAGCGATATGGTGAGTTACCTTTTGGTCATCCCATCGTCGAGGAATCAGCAGCATGGATGAGGGACGAGGAAGAGGAGGGGATGGCAGAGAAGGGAGAGGAAGATGAAGGAAGGGGGAAGGAGGATGTGAGGAGGAGGAGGAGGAGGAGTGGGTGGAGGAGGAGGAGGAGGAGGAGGAGGAGGAGGAGGAGGAGGAGGAGGAGGAGGAGGAGGAGGAGGAGGACGAGGAGGAGGAGGAGAAGGAGGAGGTCGAGGAGGAGCACGAGGAGGAGAAGGGACGAGGAGGAGACGGCAGGAGGAGGAGCAGGGATGGGGGAGGCGGGAGGGAGTTAGTTAGGAGTGAGCAGGACCGAGGCGGGCGTAGGGGTGGGGATCCCCTTCCAGGACCCCGGGGGCCTCCGTGGAGCGAGTACCCCGAGCGCGCAGCGCAGCAATGGGCCAGGCGAGGGGGGGGGGCCCGACGACGGCGCGCGAGCGCGCCGCCGCCCTCGGCCAGGCAGCAGCCCCTCCCCAAGGTAGCCTCACGAGGGCGCGAGGAGATAGCCGCCACGCACGGGCGCGACGCCAGGAGCACGCCTGCGTCTCCCTCCGGGCCCATTTCGCGGGTACCCCGTGCGGAGCGTACCCGCGGGACCGCGTATTCACGTCACGGATGCTTTTCGCCGGGGTTGGTTTTCGCCAGGCTTCGTTTCGCCGGGCTTCGTTTCGCTGGGCTTGCTTTCGCCGGGGTTGGCTTTCTTTCGCCGGGGTTGGCTTTCGCCGGGGTTGGCTTTCGCCTGGGGTTGGCTTTCGCTGGGGTTGGCTTTCGCCAGGATTGGCTTTCATCGGGGTTGGCTTTCGCCAGGGAAGGGCGCGGGCTCCAACGGGCGGGTCGGGTCGGGTTGGGCGGGCAGACCCTGACGGGCGGGACCGGTCGGGTCGGGTCGGGCGGACCCTAACGTGCGGGTCGGGTCGGGCGGGCGGGGCGCTAAAGTGTGGGTCACGCCGGAGCGAGCACGCGTGAACCCTACCGGGCGGGTTGGGTCGGGCGGGCGGACCGTAACGGGCGGGACGGGTCGGGTCGGGTCGGGCGGACCCTAATGTGCGGGTCGGGTCGGGCGGGCGGGCCACTAAAGTGTGGGTCGCGCCCGAGGGAGCACGCGTGAACCCTACCGGGCGGGTTGGGTCGGGCAGGCGGACCCTAACGGGCGGGACGGGTCGGGTCGGGTCGGGCGGACCCTAACGTGCGGATCGGGTCGGGCAGGCGGGACACTGAAGTGTGGGTCACGCCCGAGCGAGCACGCGTGAACCCCAACGGGCGGGTCGGGTCGGGCAGGAGGACCCTAACAGGCGGGACGGGTCGGATCGGGTCGGGCGGACCCTAACGGGAGGGTCGGGTCGGGCAGTCGGGACACTAAAGTGTGGGGCGCGCCGGGACGAGCACGCGTGAACCTGAACGGGCGGGTCGGGTCGGGCGGGCGGACCCTAACGGGCGGGACGGGTAGGGTCGGGTCGGGCGGTCCCTGACTGGCGGGTCGGGTCGGGTCGGGCAGGCGGGACACGAAAGTGTGAGGCACGCTCGAGTGAGCACGTGTGAACCCTAACGGGCGGGTCGGGTCGGGCGGGCGGCCCCTAACGGGCGGGTCGGGTCGGGCGGGCGGGGCACGCTACGGAGCTCCAGCCAGCTGGCCGCGGGCAAGAGGTGCCAGAGGAGGAGAGGAGGGAAAGGAGCAGCAGCAGCATAAAAGGACAGGAGCGGGAGGAGGAGAGGAGGAAGAGGAGGGCGAAAACGAACCCAGGCGAAACCCATCCAGGGCGAAACACCAACCCGGGCGAAAGCCAACCCGTGCGAAAGCCAACCCGGGCGAAAGCCAACCTGGGCGAAAGCCATTTCGGGCGCAAGCAAACCCAGGCGAAAACCAACCCGGGCGAACGCCAACCGGGCGAAAGCAAACCCGGGCGAAACGAGCCAGAGCCTCCAGGCCACCCTTAAAGCCTAGGCCTCTCTGCCTCCAGGTCTCCCAGGTGGGGTCGGAGTAGGTCGGGGTCGGAGGATCGCGCTGCATCGCCGATGCGTCGGCGATGCGGCTCGATGTAGTGCCCCGTTTTCTCCACGCCGACGTCGTCGATGCGTCGCCAATGCATCGCTGATGCATGGCCGACGCATCGGTGATGCATCGGCGATGCGGCGCGATCCTCCGACCCCAGCTACTCCGACCCCATCTGGGAGGCCTCTGGGATCTCGCTGCCTTTCCTTCGGGGCTCCTTTTCCTTCACCTGTACGATCGACGTGGGTACGGAAAGAATGGGCACGAAGACCGACAGCAGTTTCTGTTCATGTTGGACAGGATTCGCTGTCGGTGTCGCTGCGGACGTTGTCCATGTGAGACAGACGGCCTGCCTGCCCAATAGCGCCCGCTGTTTGTTCTGGGCAGCAGTTGTTGCTCGGCATTGTGCCCCTTTTGTCCGTGCCGACTGCGGGCGCACAGGCTGTCCTTCATGCCATTCCCAGATGGCCGGCGGGGTCTGTTTTTGCTTCCGCTCTGGACGCTTTTCCTCGCCCTCGGCCTCTGGGGCCTGCTGCAGGGCCCCGGGAGGATGAAGCATGGGCCGCGAACGACGCGCTGCCCCCAGGGAGGGGGTCGGGCCATCTGCGGCGCGGACGGACGAAGATGTAGTGCGGAATGGCTGGGAGTGGGGCGCTCCAGAAAGGGCCTCGCCTTCGAGGGATCGTGAGGTTGCCACTGAGAGTTTGTTCGCCAAGAGATGTACGCTTGTTTTGATTCAGGGCGTCAGGGCCGAGTCGAATGAGTCGCACTGCATGCCTGTCTCTAGGCGAGCGATGTGAGGTGAGGGCTCGCGGGTTGTTCAGGGCTGCTCAAGCCAGTGTCATTGCAGCAATTTTCTCTCCACAAGAAAGGGCTTGTATTCGTTCACTCATCCATGTCGTCCCGTGCCTCGCAAGCAAGCATCTGATGGTGGTAGGTGGAAACTGAAAGTTCTCAGCAGTGCAGCGCACGGCTGGTCGCCCATCCTCAGAAGAGCAAGCTTGAAGTTTTGGCCTGGAGCTTGAGCTTCTGAGTGCCCCTGTTTCGCCATCGTAGCTTGACGCCAACCACACCGACGACACCAAAACGTTGGCTGCTGCACTGCAGTGTTTTTTCGATGAGCTGTTTTTGTGCACGGTAGGTTTGGTCTTCTTCGGAGTGCTGCTTCTACTCTGCTAGATCTGGAGCTTGTGATTCCGATTCCGCGTGCGAGCTGGGTGTGGTTTGAGAAGGTCCAGTTGTCCAGGGAGGTGCTGAGCGCGCAGCGCCAACGACGACGGCGACAGCAACACAGTTGTTTGCTGCACCGTGGTGATTTGTGCAGCGCAGTCTTGGTCCGCTTCTTGATTCCGCTGGTTTGCTGTTCGAGCTGGAGCGTATGGTTATGATTCCGCGGTCGAGCCGAATATTGTTCGACGAGGTCTAGGGAGGCGCAAAGCGCGCAGCGTCGAACACGACGACAGTAAAACAGTTGTTTTCGCACTTCAGTCGTTTTTGCATTGCAGTTTTTCTTAAAACGCAGCCTTGGCCTGGTTGGTGAAGATATTCCAACTCGGGTCTAGACTTGGCTCGTCCGGATGGCTACCCTGTACGGTTTTATTTTTCCGGTTTTGCTGGGCTGCTTAGTTCAATATGTTTCCGTCGCAGTTTCTGTTTCCGTCGCAGTGTTTTTTGCGTTGTAGTTCTGGTCCGGTTGATCATGTTGATTTGTGTAGATTGGTTTGAACTTCGCTGGTCTAGATGACTGGCTGGCCCGGTCTTGTCTGTTTAGTCTACTTCGCTTTTGGTCTTACTAGTCTGGTGGGTTGGTCTGGTATTTCGCATTGCAGTTGTTTGTTTTTAATGCAATTCTGGTTTTGCTATGGTGGGTTGTCTGGTTGATCTGCGTAGTCTCGTCTGGGCCTGGCTAGTCTCGATGGCTGGCTCGTCTGGTTGGTGTGGTTAATCTGGCCCGTCTGAAAGTTTGGTTGGCTGGCTGGTCTGGTTGATCTGGTTGATCTGGTCCGTCTGAAAGTTTGGTTGGCTGGCTGGCTGGTCTGGTTGATCCGGTTGATCTACACTTTGCTAGTTTGACTTGCAATTCCGGATGGTTTGCCCGTCCAAGCTGATCCATCGCAGTTCTTTTTGCATGGAAGTCTCTTTTTGCAATGCAACCATAGTGTGGTTGAAGTGGTTGGTCTGGTTGATTTGCTTTCTCTGGCGTAGATCGCTAGCTTGTCTGGTTGGCTGGTCTATATCGCTAGCTTGTCTGCTTGGTCTGGTTGGTCTGTTCTACTGCGCAACACAGCGCACAGCGCACAGCGCACAGCGCACAATTGCATCATGTCTTGATTTTCTCAATGTGTTCCCATCTTGGCTGGTTTAACGTGCTCGTCTTGCTGGTCTGCCAGATTTGTTTTCTTCATTGTAGTTTTTTTGTGCGTTGGAGTTTTTATTTGCAATGCAGTTTTGGCTTGGTTGGTGTGGTTGATTTTGCTTGATCTGATCAGTCTAGTCTGACGCACGGTTCTGTTGGTTTGCTTGATTTGCTTGATCTGCTTCACTCAATCTGGATGGCTCGCTGCTCTGGTTGGTCTGCATGGCCTGGTTTGTCTGACTCGTCTGGCTAGCTTGTCTGGATGATCTGGTTGACCTGCTTATTTGTTTTCACTTGCTGATCTGGATGGTCTGCCTGGTCGAAGTGTTTTGAATCGCAATGTTTGTTCATTGCAGGTTTTTCTAGTGTAGTTTCGGTCTGGTTTGTGTAGTTGGTTTGGTTGATTCTTACCCTGGCATGGGCTTAACTGGTCTAGATGACTGGTAGTCTCTCCATCCTTCCTACCCCTTTCTGCCTCGTTTTTTTTTTTTTTTTTTTTTTTTTTTTTTTATTTTTGCGCTGGCTTCGTCAGCTGGTTTGTCGATTTCGTCTGGCTGGTCTTGGTCGATCGGGTCTGATCTGGCTGGTCTAATCTAGTCTAGTCTGGTTGGCTAAGTAGTTCAACTGGTTTGTCTGAACGGTTTGATCTGGTACGTCGGAATCGTTCGGTTGGTCTGTCCTGGTCTGCTTTTTTTGGTCTAGCTCGTCTGGCTGATGTGCTTGGCATGGTTGGTGCGGTCTGGTTGTTCTCATTTTTGTTCGGTTTGTTTGGTCGGTGACCGACAAAACAAACCGACCGTCGGTCTGCTTGTTCTGGCCTGGTTGCTCCACTGGGTCTGCTCGGCCGATTGGTCTGGTTGGTCCAGTCGGAAGGATTATTTCGGATCCGATCTCGGCTTGTTGGTCTCATCGATGTGGTCTCGCAGGTTCTCTGGTCTTGAACAGCAGGTTATCTGGTCCGGCTGTTTCGGTTGTCTTGGTTTGTTCGGTTCGCTCGGCTGGCATTTTGTTTGGTCTGGTCTGTTCTGGTCGGTGGAGTAGTTCACCTGGGTCGCTTGGTCTGGTCTGCGTGGTATGGTCTGCTTTGTTGGTTGGTCTTGTTAGATAGGCCGATAGCTATTGCACCTGGTCTGCCTAGTCTGGTGGTTTGGCTGGCCCAGCAAGTTTGACTGGCGGTGCCTGGCCTGCCTGCCGTTCAGGAATTCCACGAGGACGAAGGGCAGCAGCAGGAGCAGCAGCAACGGCGAAAGCATGACAGGCATCAACGCCCAGAGGAGGATGAATCCGGGAAGGAACAGGGGAGGAGGGGAAGCAGAGAATCTGCGTCAGCCGGAATGTCAGTTCTTGTGCCCCAAAGTAAAAGTCGTTGCTGGGGCCTAACGTAGTTTCGCTTCTAGTGGCTAAGACAAAAAAAACACTTCGCTGCTGTATAGCTGGGCCGCAGCCAGGGGTCCAGGTAGCGACAGCAAGGTAACGCCACCATTCGAAAACCTATGCTGCTCGTTTGGCCAATGCGGCCTTTGGCAACTGGTGCGGCGAAGTGCGCTGTCCAGCGATGCGCGTGTTCCGCCTCCTGCATGTCTGCATCTGTCTTTGCGTCCGGAGGTTCACCGTGAGCTGGATTTCCGAGCAGCGGAGGTATGTTGATGTTGCCCTCCCCACTCCTCCAGGAGGGAATTTGCCTGGGCATCGGGGTGAAGCACACCAAGCAGAAGGCGGGGATTTGCGGTGCCGAGTGCGGACCGCCTGAGTAGGTTCACCGACAGTTTTTCAGAAGCCACAAGTTGTCAGTTTGACAGTGCTCTTTCCGTTCGGTGCCCCCGTTTCCATTGCCTCCTCCCACTATCTCTCATTTTGTTGGAAGGGTGCACCAAAGCACAGCTGTTTTTTTTTCAATCGGCTTACACATCATTCTCCACAAGGTCTTGGTCAGGGACTTTTGCAGTTGGCGTCGGTCATGGCGACGTTGTCCGTGCCCCGTCTTCCGTGGTAGAACCCTCGGTGAGCAGTTGATTAGACACAGGAAGGAGGTGGAGGGAGGAAAAGGATATGAGAAAGAGTAACAGGAGAGGTTGAGGGAAAGAGGAGGATGAGGAGAATGAAATGGAAGGGGGGAGGAGGATGAGGACCAGCACCAGGAAGGGAGGGAAGGCGGAGTAAACGGCGTTGGTCAGTCTGTACATTTTTGGTCCACTGTGTTCGCGCAGGTGTCAGAGACTTGTTATTCAACATCGTGTGTGAATGCAGCCGTTTTTGTTTGACCTGGCGTTTGATTTTGTCAACGTGTAAGTGCTTAGCAGTGTCACATGCTAGTAGTTGTTGGTTCTTGTTGCCCCAGCCATGACGTGATGTAGCATTAGTAACTTTTCTCGTTGATGATATTTCTGGTATGCATTGGGGTATGTGTGTTACTCGGGGCTGCCCACCCATTTGAATTCGCATAGCGGTATGCATCGTATTTCGGTTCGTTGTTGCCATGACAAATAACATATTGTGGTGGCCACGTGTCACTCGACAGTGTTTCAATTTGCAAACTACCGGACCAGAGGGACAGTCGTATAATCATTTCGCGTAATCGAATCCCTTCGCCGGCAGAGAGAGAGAGGGAAGCCGTGCACGTCAGAGGTGCATTGGCAGAAGGGGTGGAACGACTGCTATCGGCGATGCGAAGCCTCCGGCGTCGCTGGCTCCATATACAAGGTCAATTTGCAAGCCTCGCCAGGCATACCCCACTCGCCGAAATCGCCCGCACGGTGGACGACCTGGGAGAGCAACCGCAGCAGGGAGGCAGAGGCGGGAGCGACACCGGGGGTCTAGGACGAGCTTGGAGCCGGGGGGAGGAGGATCAGGAGGGGAAAAAACACACAGACACAATTATTCGTCGACTCCCCAGAAAATATGCGAAAATATGGGAATTGGGCGGGAAGACAAAAATCCAGAAAATATGGGAAAATATGGGGAATCCTTTTATTTGTGTGTATTTATTTGTGTGTCCCAGGGCCCCTTCAAAGCGACAGGGGACGGCAGCCGAGGGGAGGGGGAAGGGAACCGAGGGCGACAAGCGGGGCGACAGCCCGAGGGACGAGCAGGAGGGAGAGCAGGCAGCGGAGCGGCGCAAGACGGCGGAAGAGGGGGCGACGACACCACCTTCAGGAGGGGAAAAAACACACAGACACAATTAATCGGCGATTCCCAGAAAATATGGGAAAATATGGGAAGCGGGGGGGAAGACAAAAACCCAGAAAATATGGGAAAATATGGGAGATATTTTCATTTGTGTGTATTTATTTGTGTGTCCCAATTCCCCTTCACACCTGGAGGGCATGCGGCGGGGGCGAGCTTTCGAATTTCCTCCCTCAGAATTCGTTCAAACAAGAAAGAGTCATACTCACAGATCTCGTACATCAGAGGGTCTACTTTCCAACTTCTGATGCCACAGGGCGTGCGAAGCTTCCTTCGCTGACCGAGCACCAGAAATTCAATTCCGAGCCTTGGGACAAAAATGAAGTGCGATGCCCGTGGGTTTCACATGTTTCTGGGGTCGCGGGCAACAGTTTCGTCCGAGCAACAATCACCAATGCTAGTTTTGTTCCCGCGTGTTGCTCGCAGGGCTCCGCAACCGTTGTAAAGCGCATGTTGGTGCGTTTACGCTGTGTCTGGGCAGGTGTCCATCTTTCTATGTGTTCGCAACGTCCATCTTTCTATGTGTTCGCAACGAAAATCAATGTGCGGAACCCCCAACCCTCAGCCCCGATACCTCCACAGGTGCTTGTGCATGCACTGCAGTTGCCTTGGCCGTCTACTAACACTTCTCGCACACAGTCGAAACCGATGCTACGGATGGGTAACCTTCCCACCTCTTGGCCTCTTTGGTCCATCCTTGACCACTTTCGATGGCCCGCCGCGCCCGGTAAAAGTTTAGCACAGGCATCCGAGGGGCTTGCATCCTTGTCGCGCATCCTTACTGTCCGTTCTGCATTTCAGGAAATGGGGGCAGAGAGGACGGTGGGGACAACATTATGGTCATGGTGAGCAACGCTTTCGGGCGGAGGACTCTAGGGGGCGGATTGGGCCCGTTGCCCCAGAGCGGCCTCCTGGTGGCAGGAAGAATCGAAACCCCTTGGGACGGCCGGGAGGCCTTTACAAACCAAACGAGCCTTTACAAGGGAGGGCCCGTGTCGTTTGGGAAGGCCCGCGTCCGTTGGACAAGCCCATGTCGTTTGGGAAGGCCGGGTTGGTTTGGGAAGGCTCTGGCCTCATGTTGCGGAAGGCGCGTTTCGTTTGGGAATGCCCGGCTGGCTTGGGAGCCCCCAGGGGCCTCATGTCACGGAAGGCTTGGTCTTGCTGCTGACAGTCCAGTCGGGTTCGAAGAACAGGTCGGCCCTGCAACATCAGGGGTGCCTTTGTCCTGTCTATCGCGTACCGTGCCCCTCATCAGGACTGGAGCGCGGGCTGCCCTCGGAGTCGATGGCTGTGTGTGTGTGTGTGTCCTCTCGGGTGTCCTCTGATATCAGTCCCGACTGCACGCGTATCGTCGTCGTTGCTGGAGCGGGTGGCGCAGGCCTTCCTTCGTCGCATGTCTTTTGTTCGCTGCACCCCGCCCCCCCCCCCGGCAGGTAACCACTTCCCCTTCCGGGGGCCAGCCTCCAGCCCCGGGCGGGGCCGTCCGCCTCCACTTTTGGCGGCGTGCGGCCAGACGCCGGGGGCGGGGGAGCGGAGATAGGGTCGCGGCGCAGAGGCGCGAGGCAATGTGAAGTGTGTGGGCAGCTGGGGCGCATGAGCCGGGGCGTCTTGGGGAGTACCTCGTCAGTTCTGGCGCAGATGCCAGCTGTAGAGGTGTGCGTCGTCGTCGTCGTCGTCGTGCACCCCCCCCTACCCGGATCTGGCAGAAACTCGCGACCCTGAAGCGTTTCAGAAACGTGCGGGCTCACGGCCAGAGTCCATTCCTGAAGACAGATGCGTCCGTGAAGGTCCTGGGGTTCCGTGTGCGACGACATTGCCCCGCGCGAGCAGAAACGCAACGACAGGGTCGCAGGGTCGATCCTCGATCAACTCGTCCGTCGACGTCCTCGACCGTCGGTCGACGTCGTCGCCTCGTCGCCACGAGGGGGCTCGGCTCCAGAAGCGTCATCGTGGTCGTCGTTGTCGTCCTCGTCGTCGTCGTCCTCGATTTTGGGGGGCGCCATCGGTCGACGAGCGCTCGCCGCCAGCAGCCAGGCCTCAGCGCCCCAGCCCCGGCGCCCCCGCCCAGGCTGCCCCCGTGGCGCCGCCGCAGTCTTCGAAGTTCGCGGACGCGGCGAGCTCGGCGAGGCTCTTCGGGGCTGCAAGGGGGAGACGGGGGGTCGCAGGTTGGCTTCTCGCTCCCAATCCCAGACGTGTGAAAAGACTCGGCGCTCAGAAAAGAAGGGGAGTTCGGGGATCAGGCACCCCCATGGGGTCCGGACGCAGCATTATATCGAGGATGGAGGCCTCCCCATCGTAGATCTCCGAGTTTGGCCTGACATGTTCCGTCCACCCGAGGTTCCCGCAAAGTCGGGGACAGGGGTCGCCATACAACCAGGAGGGACGACATTACACAACCACACAGAACCGCTGCTCTCCACTGAAGCAAAGGAGATTAGGGAGCGTTATTGGGGATTCCTAATTCGTGACGCTTCGCGTACCCCCACCAGCGAGGCCCCGGCCCACCGCTTTAGGTTTAATTCGTCTTTGCGCGCCCCGCTCTGACTGGACTCGCCGCTGGCGCGCTCGCCTGCGGCCGCTGACAAAAAAGTGCCCCCACCAGATGTTTCGATCGACCTACTGACGCCGCGCGGCCTTCCTCCGCTAGCGGTCGGTCAACACAAAAAGTACCCCCACCAGCTTCGATGCTCCTGCCTTGCGCCCCGCTTTCGCTGTCGGTGTTGCCTGGGCCGCCTTTCCGCCCTGGTTCCCCTCCGGGCGATCCGGTTTTACCGTCGAGCGCCTGCACGTTCGCCTTCATCGATTTCGCAGTCGTGAACTTCGTCTTCCTCGTGGGCGTGGTCGTGGCCGTTGAGGGCCTGGGCATCATTTAGAATTTGCTCCGCCATTTTGGCGCTGCACGCGGACCAGTTCCTCCTGGTTTTCACGGTTTCGGCGTGTTCGGCCTGACCCTCAGCGTTTTCTTCCTGTGGTTCAGCGTCCTCCTCGCCCCCTGAGCTGCAGCGTAGCTCGCTCCTGTTGCTTTCGGGAAATTTAGTGCTTGGCTCGGCTGCCTTGTTACATTCGGCGCGCGGTCGGACCGTGACGCTCGCGAACAAAGAAGTACCCCCACCAGCCCATCCAGAAACGATCGCCCAGCGAGTTGTTTTGATCATGAAGATGTAGAAGCATTCAGTGGATCAGGCGCTGGCAACGTGTCGGGGGCGCAGGGACGACGGGATGATTTGTCGAATGGTCTGTTCCCATGCCGCGGCAGTTGCATTGGTTTCTTCTGGATACCCTCTTGGAATTGTCAGGTGACCTTCTTGAGGCTGGGAGGCCGCTGTCTTCGACGATCGCAGCAGGGAGGAGGAACGGATAACGGGATGAGAACGAGGAGGAGGAGAAGGATAGGAATAAGAGAAGTAACCCGTAAAAGGATGGCGGAGGAAGAAGGAAACGATGATAATACCGACGACGCTAACGACGAGTCATATATAAAGCCTTCGCGGGGCTTTCTATCCGCCAGCCTCTTGAAAGCTTATTGGAGGCCTTCTTGGGGCCTTTTGGGGTTTTCTGGGGGCGTCTGGGAGGCCCCGTGGGGCAATCTTGGGCCCCATTGTTCAAAAAAAAGGAAGCGATAATTTCAGTCCTCCCTTCAGAGGTCGAACAAGCGTCCTTTCGAACCCTCTTGGGGCGCTCTTGTGGGGCGGTCTCTGACGCTCTTGAGGCCGTCTTGGGGCCCACTTGGGGCTCGTTTGGGCCCTTTTAGGTCCACTATGACGCCTGCAAAGCCCACTGGGGGCCAAATGGCGAGAAGGCAAGCCATTGTGATATTATTTAGGTGTTTGAAAGATTGGGGCCTGTACGAGGGTGCTTCGGAAAGCTCGGAAAACCCTTGGAGCCATCAGGGAGCGGTGTTGGAGCCTTTTGGCGGTATGTTGGAAACTGCTGTGAGCCATTTCGAAATGTTTTGAGCTATGTTGGAGGCCATCTTGCAGGTTTTGGGGAACTTGTGAAGCCATCTTGGACCAAAAATGCATTCTTGGACCATCTTGGGGGCACTCTTCGAGCCATCTTGGACCATCTTGGAACCCTCTGACACTTCGGCCCCCTCCCAGTCCAGGGCCAGGGGAGAGGTAGGGTAAGGGGTCGATATACTCAGAAGCAACAGGCCGTCTCGCTCATTCCCACTGGCACTCTCAAGACATGAGTAGCACCTGCGCCTCAGCATGGACAGAGGCCACCATCGACAACCATCGGGAACCAATGCAGACGCCAGCCAGGTGTGGGAAGCCCGCGAGGTGCGCTGCAAATCCCAGCTGCGCCACTCGTGCCAGGTGCCAAACACCACTGCACAGTGACGGCGGGTTTGTTGGTGTTGTTGCTGCTGCTGTAGTTGCTGTAGTTGCTGTAGTTGTAGTTGTAGTTGTAGTTGCAGTTGCAGTTGCAGTTGTAGTTGTAGTTGTCGTAGTAGTAGTAGTAGTAGTAGTAGTAGTAGTAGTAGTAGTAGTAGTAGTAGTAGTAGTAGTAGTAGTAGTAGTAGTAGTCGTAGTCGTAGTAGTAGTAGTAGTAGTAGTAGTAGTAGTAGTAGTAGTTGTTGTTCTTGTTCTTGTTGTTGTTGTTGTTGTTGTTGTTGTGGTTGAAGATTAATGATTGTTGATCCCCCCCGTCCGGTGCACATTGTTTTTTTCGATTGAAGTGCCCTTCCCGGGGCTCGCACCCTGTTTTTTATCAGGGAAAATCTTGAAGGTCAATCTGTGTCGTTGGCCCCCGGTTTGCAACAACAACAACAACAACGGCTCCCGCCTGAGACTTCCTCACAATCTAGCCAGGACCCCCGCTCCCGCCCGAGACTTCCTCGCATTTTATTCAAGAAGCGCGCTCTCGCTTGGGACCTCCTTACAATTTATTCAGGAATTGCTCTCCCGGCGCTCTGGAGTCGCGCTCTCGCTGGAGACTTGCTGGCAACTTACTATAGAATAGCGCCCTTGCGTTGGACTTTCTCGCGATTTACTCAAGCGCCGCGCTCCCGACACCCAGGCACCCAAGAGTCGCGCTCACGCCTAGGATTACATCACAGATTTACCTAGGAATCGGGATCTCGCTGCCTTTCGTAGCCCCGTTGCAACCCTTCGTGGCCCCCTCGCTTTGTCTCGTGGCCCCGTTGAAGCCCTTCGTGGCCCCCCCTCGCTTTGCTTCGTGGCCCCTTTGCAGCCCCTCGTGGCCTCCTCGCTGCCCTTCGTGGCCCCGTTGCAGCCCTTCGTGGCTCCCTCGCTTTGTTTCGTCGCCCCGTTGCAGCCCTTCGTGGCCCCCTCGCTTTGTTTCGTGGCCCCGTTGCAGCCCTTCGTGGCCCCCTCGCTGCCCTTCGTGGCATCAGCAGGCAGATTGGTCCTGGCAGACAGGATGGCAATCCTGGCAAGACCACGACTGGCACGACGGGGGCAAGCGTGGCAGGAAGAAAATGACAACGCCGACCATGACGACAAGATATCAAGGTGGAATTAGGTTCCCACGGCAAGGAACCACTCGCCCGAGGTCGTTGCTTAATAATGGTGGCCGTTAGTCACTACAGCTCTGCTCATGCCCCTGGCGAATCTTTCAGCGTTTCTCCCTCCATCTTCTCTTCACCGACAGTGCGACCGTTAGTAGTCCCTGGCAGCCCGCCCGACAGATGTGCGCCCGCGGCTGGGCACCTCTCTCCCTCCCTGGGCCTGCTTTCCTGTCCTGCCTTCCCCCCCTGCACACCAACCCTGCGACCGTTAGTCGTCCCTGGCAGCTTTTCCATCACTTTGTCTCGCCCGCGGCCTGGAGGGTGCCCTCTCTCGCTAGGCAAGTCACTTTCTTGGTTGGAGCATGCTGATGTTGACTGAGGTCGCCCACAGTGCCTGGACGGCCCCCCCGCACACGTGAGCCAGGCCCTGGCGCTGCCCCCGGCGGCACGTTGTCCAGGCTGGGGACAGATGCAGCCGGCACGGTGCTGTTCACTGCGCACAGCATGCCCGTCCTCGTCTGCCCCCCCTCCACACCAACCGTGCGACCGTTAGTCGTCCCGGGCAGCCTCGCCCGCGGCCTGGAGGGTCCCCTCTCATGCCAGGCAAGTCAGATACTTGGTTGGAGCGTGCTGCCGTCGACTGAGGTCGCCTACAGTGCCTGGTCGGCCCCCCCCGCACATTTGGGCCAGGCCTGGCGCTGCCCCCGACGGCACGTTGTCCGGACGTGGGACAGATGCAGTCGACACGGTGTTGTGAACTGCGCGCAGCATACCAGTCATCGACCGCATGCTATACCAGCTTTCGCCCCACTTGGCTGCAGTGGCCTTCAGCCCCCACTGGCAGCCCCGGGTCGTTTGGTGACTGCTTCCGCGGCACCTGGCAGGATCCCCCCGCCCATGAGATGCCCCTCTGCTACCGTCAATACCGGGCTTGCGGGACCCGCTGGGGCGGGGTACAGCGTGCCTATCGGCCATGGCCGCTAGTGTAGTGGGTTTCAGTCCGGCCTCCGCCTGGACCTGGCCAAGGCCTGACTCGGTCCCTCGGAATCGGCCCCTCTGGGCCGCCTCGGCCCCTGCTCGGCCATTGGCTCGGCCTCCCCGCCCTTGGGGAACCGGCCCCCAGTCGCCGTCAATACCGGGCCCGCTGTCTCCGCTGGGGCGGGGCGCGACGTGCCTTACGGCCTTGGCCGTTTCAGTACTGTTCTCACTCTGGTCTTTGCCCGGGCCCCGCCACGGCCTGGCGTGGTTTCCCTGGCACTGGCCCTTTCGTGACGTCATCGATTCACGCGTCTTGACCAGCTCCGGCGCATGTGCTTGCACCCCTCCACAGGTCGGCTTGGCCGTGTCTGGCTCGTACTCCGCCACTGGCGCTGGGCTCCGTCCTTCTCAGCCGCAGTGGAGGCGCCCGTCACCTGGCCGCATACTCTCTCCGTGTCGTGGTTCCGAATGTGCCCTGGCGTTCAGGTCTCACGCGTTCTGGCCAGTTCGGGCAGTGTTTGCACCCCCCTGGCTCTGGTCGTCAGCTGGCCCCCTGGGGTACTGGCGGCCGTGTCTTGCAGGAGTGGTTCAGCCTTCTTGTTCAGCCTGGCGTGTCAGCTGGCGGTCTGCCTCCCTGTCCTCTGGCGTCCGGTGGCGACAAGGATTGATTGCCGTGCCTGGTGATTCAGCTCCCATGGTACTCGCGCGTTGCAACTTTCCAGCCGCCTCCACAGCTGGCAGCTTCCACTCCTCGGCGCAGCTCAGCCCCGGCGCAGCTTCCCTCGGTGGTAGTTTTAGTTTGCTTGCTCGGCGCGCGCGCTGGCAATTCGGGTGCTCGCGGCCCGTGTTTACTTTACTGACGCTGTCGGCTGGTCGGCCTGCAGCTGTGACTAAAAAGTATCCCCACCAGCCCATCCAGAAACGATCAGCAGGGGAGTTGGTGAGTCAGGGGCGGCAGGACGCATGCAGTCGCGCAGCCGTCTTCGGGAGAACAAGGAACAAGGATCACAAATAGCTACCCGCATTGAAATTTAAGGTGGAAGCCGGTGCAAGCTACGATGGTGCTTCGATGAGGGGTGAGGGGTGTTTCGATGACTCGTAATGGCTGTTGCACCGAATTGTATATTAAGCTCGCGTGCGTTTCGAAACTTGGAGCCATCTTGGGGCTCTCTTGGTGTTCTCTTGGGGCCTTCTTTGGGGCCCTCTTGGAGCTCTTTCTTGGGGCTCTCTTGAGGTCTTCTTAGGGTCTTCTTGGAGCCCTCTTGGGGCTCTTTTGGGGCGTCTTGGGGCCCTCTTGGGGCTCTTTTGGGGGGTCTGGGGGCCTTCTTGGGGCTCTTTTAGGAGGTCTGGGAGGCCTCTTGGGGCCGTCTTAGGCCGCAGTGATCAAAAAGAGGGGTGGTCTTAATTCCCATCGCCCCTCCGGAGGCTCAAGAATGTCGTCTTGGGGCCCTCTTGGGCCGCTCTTGGAGCGCTCTTGGGGCCGTCTTGGGGCCCTCTTGGGGCTATCTTGGGCCGTTTTGGGGCCATCTCGAGGCTCATGAGCCCATCGGAGGCGAAAGAACGAGACAGCACGACACACGGATTTCCCTTAAGTTTTTGATCGGTTTTGGCCTCTTGGGGGGGTCCTTGGAGGCTTCGGAGGGCACCTGAAACCGTCTTGGGGCCGTCTTGCGGCCTCTTGCACGTGTGTCGGAGGCTATCTTGACCCATGCACCGCTATTTACGACCATCTTGGAGGCCATCTTGCGCTCTCTGAAGCCCTTTTGGAACCATCTTGGACCATCTTGGACGCTGCTATGGGTCGGGCCCCCCCCAGTCCAAACGCATGGAGGGGGGGAGGTAAACTTGAATCGCTCTAGACCACCTGCGCCGAGAGGCTGGTGGGATTTCGCCTGTAGCGACACCCCTTTTTTGGGAGGACCAAATAAAACAGGGGGCGATATCCCGATACCCAGATCTCCCGCCCAAGGGGGTCGAGCCAACACCTCTCCCGAAACACCTTCCCACCTTCAGTTCGCAAGGCACATCAAAACATGAGAGTGCGGTTTTGGGGAGCGGTGAGCATTTGAAGCACGAAGGTTTCGAAACCAAGGGGAGGGGCGACAAGTAGGAACATGTGCAACGCACAACGGATTCGAGCCCTAGAAAAGGGGAAGGGTTCGAGCCCCAGACGACAACAACGCAACAACGCAACGACAACCCGCACCGCAGAGCCCCCGCTTTAGCCACGCGCCCAGAGACGCGACTCTGACCAGGCCCCAGCGTTCAGCGACACCTCTCGAGCCAACTGGATCCGTGAGGACCCCGTGGCCCGAAGTTGAGAGAGCACGCTTGTGGCAACGAGTAGTGTGGAAACCGCATCGCAGGGAAGATCACCTTGGCGAAAGGGCACCTCTTGCGAGGCGGGGATTTATTCATGACCGCCGCTTGCCGAGGTCCCCGAAGATGATCCCCCAAGATGGGTGTTATGAACAAATCCCGCATCGGGGGGAGGACCAGAAATATAGACGGTTCAAGCCGCCGCGAATTTCAAGTGAGCGAGGGCGTGGAGGGTCGCGGGTCAACCTTACTGCCGCGCACCCCCAGAGAGCAGGGCGGTTCCTCCTCCGCCCTCCCCCAAAAGGGAGGGGTAAGTAGATCAGGGTGACAAGGGAAGAGAAAGGAGCAGCCGCAGCAGAGCTCAGAGGAGAGTGGATGAGGACGGGGCCGGGGGGGGGGGCAGCAGGAGGGGGACAGATGGAAGAAATGAGGAGGAGGATGGGGACGAGGAGGGGGGAGGGGGGAGGGGGGGGACGAGGAGGGGGGAGGGGGGAGGGGGAGGCGAGCTCGTGAGAAGAAGGGAGATCTAGGGAGGGGGAGGGAGGAGGAGGAGGAGGAGGAGGAGGAGGAGGAGGAGGAGGAGGAGGAGGAGGAGGAGGAGGAGGAGGGAGGAGGAGTAGGAGGAGGTGAGGAGAGGAGGAGGTGGAGGACGTGGAGGAGAATGGAGGAGGGAGAGGGAGGAGGAGGCGGAGGAGGAAGAGGAGGAGGAGGAGTAGGAGGAGAAGGACGAGGAGGAGGAGGATGAGGACGAGGAGGATTAGGAGGAGGAGGAGGAGGAGGAGGAGGAGGAGGAGGAGGAGGAGGAGGAGGAGGAGGAGGAGGAGGAGGAGGAGGAGGAGGAGGAGAGGAGGATTAGGAGGATTAGGAGGAGGAGGAGTAGGGAGGAGGACGAGGAGGAGGAGGAGGATTGGGCCATGGAGGAGGAGGAGTAGAAGCGAGAGCGGAAGCGAAGAGGACTGCGGTGAATGACGCGGATCGAGGGTGGAGGATGAGGGAGGAGGAGGAGGAGGACGACCAGGAAAGACCAGGGGGGGGCGAGCGGGAGGGGGACCGACGAGGGGTAGATCGCCCTGCCCCACCCCCGCCCGTGGCCCCCGCGCCCCACGCGGCCAGGGAGTACTTCGAGAAGAACGGGCTGCTCGAATACGTGCCGGGGCCCGGCAATCCTGACCTCCACCCATCGAGTTCCCCTCCGTCCTCCTTCCTCAGCTGCTTGCCCTCTCTCCCTCCACCTTCTTCTTTCCCCTCCTTCTGAACAGCTCGCTCAGCTCCTCCCCGTCGCCCTCCCCAGTCGTGTCTGTAAGGCAGGCCAGACGTTTCGGTTAAGGTTTCCTCACCGCTTTTGTGATCCTGAAGCTTGGGATTTGCAACATATTCAAGGATGGAGGGCGGTTTGTTTCAATCTGTAGCCCTCGCCTTGGCGCATCGCAAATTCGTCTTACACGCTTAGGGCAATTTCTAGTATGCAGGGCATGTCGTTTTCGCAATGTGACGTCCGCTTAAAAGTTCACGACAGTTTCAAGGATAAAGGCCATTTTTTTTTTTTTTTTTTTTTTTTTTTTTTTTTTTTTTTTAATATATAATATATATATATATATATTTATATATTATTATTATTATTATTATTATTATTATTATTATTATATAATGGTGCTCCCACGATAGCGCCGCGCACATTTGTTTTTAAAGTTTGCAGCAGCTTCAAGGGTGGATGGCGGCTGCTCTCGCGTCAGCGCCGCGCGCACTCGGAGGGCTGACGTCTCGGGAAAATGGCGCTCCGGTGCGGTTCGGGGCCGTCGGGGCGCAGCAGTCACGTTTCGGGGGAGCGTAAGTCCCGGGTTTGCCAGGACTCGGGTTCGCCATCGTTTTTTGACGACCGCGCCTCGGATTTTGACGAGGAGGAGTTTCGTGGGATGTCTGCAGCGGGAGGCCTCGTCAGAATGCAGGCTCGGCCTCGCCATTTTTTTTGACGACCTCGTCGGGGATTTCCGAGTCCACTGTACCCAGGTCTTACGTCCCCCTGAACGTTGATTCGCGGTGTTGAAGTCCCAGGGATGGTGCTCTGGCACGGTCGAGGATTATCAGGTCGCAACCGTCCCGTCGATTTGTAGCTTTGGAGTCCCAGGAATGGTGTTTCGGCGCGATTGAGGATTCTCAGACGGTTGTGTTTCAATAGGGGCCCCTCCCGCCATGAAAATACATTCTTCAGGGACCTATGAAGAGTGAACTTGGAGAGAGGATGCATTATACCGTCGTTGAGTCGTCTTGGGCTTGCACTGGCCCTCTTCCTCATCTTCATCCCACACCTCTTCCTCCTGCCCAGAGTGCATTTCTGCTTATTCCAAGGCGATGGCTAGTATCTCGAAAAGAAAGCACCCTATTCGAACGGTGATCATCAGATAACTCGGCGCGTGAGGTGGCTGCGGACATCATCCTCCACCTCGTGCTGCAACTCCTGCGCTTCCTTCCCTTGCTCCTTCTCCTCCACCTGCTTCTACCTTTTTCCTGGGCTCGTTCACGGAGTTGGGATACAGGCAGGTTTTCAGCTTCACTTTGTTGTATTCGCTGTGCTCAACCGAGCCTAAAAGGATACTGATACCATGAGTGCACGCAGGAACAGCACGTTTTTTGCAAGTAGATCTGGCACATAATTAGTTTACGACGAGTTCGGGGCATTATTGCCAAAGGCTCCCTGGGGTCGGGCGTTACGACGAATTCAGGGAATTTGGCCCCAGGCTCACTGGTAGCCGACGTTACGGCGAATTCGGGTCATTCGTATCGCGGGGAGCCAGCGTGACAACGAATTCGGAGATTTCTCGATTACCGCTGGACGTTGGCATTGCGGAGCGGACCTTTCGAATTCAAAATGCTGGATTTGGCCTGGAGGCCAACCTTGCTGCGCATGCGAGGGCTCGCCAAGAGAACGCCACCTCAAACCCTCTGGGCATTGCCTAGCTCAGAGGATACAAGACGTGTACGGCGCAACGCCACGCCACGCACCACAGGGAGCAGAGCCCACTCCCGACCCGCCGCGGATCTCCCGACGGTGCCCGTCGAGTCCCCGCTCTGCGACGCGCCGGTGCGCGCCGGAGTATCTGAGACAGCTGAGCGGGACAGCGCGCCGCGCCATCCCAGTGACATGCCCAGACCTCGGATGGATTTGTTGGCTCGGCAGCCGGAGCATGCTCGGCCTCGGCCCGAACTCCGCGGTTCGACGGCGCTGTGATCTCGGGGCGAGGCAGATCAAAGAGGAGGGCGGGGGGCGGAGCAGGAGCCGGACCAGGAGCAGCAGGGGAAGGAGGAGCAGGAGCGAGAGGGTCCGCAACGGGCATGTGGTTGTTCGCCCCCTTCGTGCCTGGCCAGGGCCACCCTGAGACCCAGGATGGTGTACACCTTAGGCGATGCTTAAGAAAACCTAAGTTTTCGGCCAGAGTCTCGATTATTCTTAATGTTTCAATGTAAATCCTAAGATTTGAATGGGCATTCTCTGGGTTTTTACTTAAATTCTGAGACTATCAATTTCTTAACCCATGATTTCTAAAGCATTTCGCAGGGTGTACAGACCCACCTGGATGGCCCTTGCCAGGTGTCGTGGTGGTGGTAAGGGTGCGGAACCGCGCCGCGCGGCAAATTCCTGCTGCCGAGGTGCAGGCGCTGCTGCACGCTGTCGTCCAGGAGAAGCCAGAGGACCCGCGCGGCCTCCTCGGAAGTCGGGCTGGCCCCAGGGACGTCGCCGATCCCAGGCCCCTCGTCGTCGAGGCTGGTCTGGGGAGGAGGGGAGGGGAGGGGGGGGGAACGATACGGGGGGGGGGGACCTGCTTAGGTGGAAAGCATCGACTTGGAATGGACGATGCATCGCCGATTGGTCGGCGATAGGCCCCCGATAGCAAATCCGAACGATCATGCGTTTTTAGTTGGTTGTTTCGCTCTTCGGGGGCTTTGGGAGGCGTCTTGTCGCCACGGCTGGGGTCCCCTCGATGTTCATGTCGAAACACCCACCCCGAGCACAGACCACCTCTCGCAGTGAAACATCAGGACGATTTTTTTTGACGATTGTTGACGCTTCGCGCATCCCCAGCAGCATGGACTCGCATCTTTGCACGCTGGCAGTTCCACTCAGTTTCAGTCCCTCCAGCCATCCACCTGCCGCTGGGCCGCTGCGTGAGGCCTCGGCCGGTGCGTAGCTGTTGCCTTGCGCGTTGCCTCTGCCTCATCGTAGCCTGTTCGCGCTGCCTTTGCTTAATTAGTCTCTGCGTAGCCCGCTTTGACCTGACTCGCCGCCGGCGCGCTCGCCCGCGGCCGCTGAAAAAAATCGTATCCCCAGCAGCCCATCCAGAAACGGTACCCAGGGGAGCTGAGGTGAGCAGGGACGTGGGCGAGCATGCAGAGACTCTTCGGATGTCTCTTGGAAGCGAGGCCTCTTGGGGCGTGAGTCTAGGGGGCCTCTTGGCGGGCCCAGGGGCTTTTTTGAGCGTCTTGGGTGCCTCGGAGATCCTCTTGAGGCCTCTTGGGGGCCTCTGGGAGCTCGTGGAGGCCTCTTGGGCGCCTCTTGGGGTTGCCTGGGCGCCCCTTGGGGCCCTCCTGGGCCGCTCCTGGGAGCTTTAGGGGCGCTCTTGGGGCCATCTTGGAGGACATCGATCAACAAAAGAGGGGCGCTTCAATTTGCCTCTCCCCCCTCGGGAGCACCGAACATCGCCTCCTGGACCCTTGGAGCGCCCTTGGGGCGCTGTGGGGCGCTCTGGGAGCCGTCTTGGGGCTCTCTTGGGCCTCTCCTGGGGCTCTCTTGGGCCATCCTGGTGCCATTTTGAGGCCTCGGATGGCCATCGTAAGCGGAAAGGCGAGAAAGCAACGGGATGGACAGCCGGTCCGGGGAAAGAGCTCGAGACTTCCAGTGGCCAAAGGAGGAAGCGTCGGGGGTCTGGGGAGAGCGATTGGGGCGCCTCTTGCTGTGAACCCCATCCCAGACCTCCTTCTCGTAGTTTCCTGGTCTTCCCCTTCATCCTGCTGGTGCTCCTGCTCCCTTTGATTGCGGCGGTCTTTTTGGAAGCTCATTTAAACATGAATAATACACTTCTTTGCACCTTTCTAGAGGCTGCTCAAGGCAGCCGAAGGCCACTAAAGGCTGGTAAAGGCTGCTAGCAGCAACTACAGGCTGCCAACAGGCGACTAAAGGCCACTAAAGGCCGCACACAATACACTGAATGACGCTGAAGGCAACTAAAGGCTACTACACCGAGGCGGTATATGTTAGAATGAGCTGTCAGAAAAACAGGCTCAACTAACTCAGATGTATTTCCCAACCATCCTGTGGTGTTGGGTCCTCGTTTTGAAGAGACAGCGCCCCGCGTTCACTCCTTCCTTCCTTCCTCCCTCTGCCCCCTCCTCCCTCCTCCCCCTCCGCGTCAGCCACACCCATTTCGGCACACCCCTCACACGCTTCGTGGCCCCATATGGAGCCCCACCGAGGGCCCCGGTGGCTGCGTCCGCATGGCGGCACCGCACCCATTTCGGCACACCCCTCACACGTTTCGTGGCCCCATAGGGAGCTCCACCGAGGGCCCCAGTGGCTGCGCCCGCATGGCGGCACCGCACCCATTTCGGCACACCCCTCACACGTTTCGTGGCCCCATAGGGAGCTCCACCGAGGGCCCCAGTGGCTGCGTCCGCATGGCGGCACCGCACCCATTTCGGCACACCCCTCACACATTTCGTGGCCCCATAGGGAGCTCCACCGAGGGCCCCAGTGGCTGCGTCCGCATGGCGGCACCGCACCCATTTCGGCACACCCCTCACACGTTTCGTGGCCCCATAGGGAGCTCCACCGAGGGCCCCGGCTGCGTCCGCATGGCGGCACCGCACCCATTTCGGCACACCCCTCACACGTTTCGTGGCCCCATAGGGAGCTCCACCGAGGGCCCCAGTGGCTGCGCCCGCATGGCGGCACCGCACCCATTTCGGCACACCCCTCACACGTTTCGTGGCCCCATAGGGGGCTCCCTCTCATTCGTTCAACCTGCTTTGCGGTACTCGTAACTGCATATGGTTGGGTCCATCGCCAGGATAATTTTTTAGAGGGGCTGGGGCACCCGCTTCGGTGTCCGAGTGGCCACGGGAAGACGCTCTTCGGACGACGTCATGCGGCTTTGATGTCTCGACCGAAGCTGCGAGAGGGGGGCCGGCGCCATCAGCTGTTATACAGGCACGCGGCTCAAGGGGCAGGCGTCCCGGCCTAATTGACATCGTCATGGATCTCGAGAAGCTGTGCTTGCTTGCGACGGGCTGCCGTCAAAGTGGAGATCGGTTTTACCTGAGATGTGACGTTGCGAAAAAATAGCCTGGAACCGTATCACTACCCAAGCCTTGGATTCCAATGCTCTGCGGCATTTCTTAAGCCAGATCGATCCATGAGGGTCAGGGGGTCCGAATATGCGCAAAGACACGTGGTGCGTAAGAATGTTCGGCGTCAGGATCTTCGGGCTCGCCGAGGAATTCTTGACCGCCCAGGCCGCTTCATGGACAGACGCCACGTGGTGATCGCTTGTGGGCGGTCGCGGCAGGCTCCAGGCTCCTGTTCCCTGGGCATCGGGCTAGCCGAGAAGCGCATGCCCCAGGACCCGTTTTTTTGCCCGCGGTAGTCATGGGATTTCGAAGGTTTCTGCAGGGGTTCGTGTTCAGGCGGGAGGGAGAGGTGAACGCCTGCGCGGGCCTGGAGAGGCAGCCCTGATCCAGAAAAACGGCAACGAGGCCCCGACCAGCGATGCATCTCCCTCGCCCAGCGTTCTTTTGCTCAAGCTGTGCAGGCTGTTCCCACACTCCCTTTGAGAGGGAGTGCGGGACCTCAGCTGGGCTCCATGGAGTGCTGTCTTTCCTGCGCGCCGCCAGGAAGCTGGCAACACACGTGGCTGGGTTCACACGTGGAGCATCCGGAGGCCACTTGCTGGATACACGTGCGGAGGACCACCGTGCTTGGCCATACGAGGGCCGAGCGCTGGGAAGACATGTGGCCACGTGAGTATCCAGCACTCGCCCAGGCCAGCCACGTCATGCGTATCCAGAGTTCATTCCAGTTCGTCCACGCTGCTGTCGCCTCCCCTCCTCCGTATCGTCATTCAGTCCTCCTCCTTCCACCCCTTCTTTCTCGCCTGTCTAATCCTGCATATTTCACGCGCGGCTCGCGGAGGCAGTTTTGAAAGATCGCGTTTGCGTCATTGAGTTGCCTCGTAGCTGGGATGTCCGAGACCAATTCCGTTCCTTCTCTTGCCATTCTTCTTTCTCCTCAGTTTCCTCCTCCTCCTCCTCCTCCTCCTTCTCCTCTCCGTCTGACTTTATCATCTCCCATCCTCTTTGTCGTCCTTGCTTGCTCTGTCGATGTGGGGTCCCCTCGGCAAAGGGACCAGCTTTTCGTCCCGGGTCGTGCTTGTTACGGCCTCGTCGCCGAGAAATGGTTCCCTTCAGGCGGAAGCGACTAATAATCTACATCGTTCGTTATTGCAAGAGCGCGTGGGCCATGTGGTTGTCGTGTTTCGATTGGCCACGATGCTCACAAGATCCGCCTGGCATAAACCTGTTCAACTCATCACTTGTGCGAGCTCTGAGAAGCCTGCGAAGATACTTACCGAGATCGTGTGGCTTCGATGCTTGTGTCGACGGCGATTGTGTGGCCGATTCCGGAAACCCTGAACCCCCAAACGGTTGCCATCTTTTGGGGCAGATTTTTTATTTCCGCCTGCCTTCCGCTGGCGGAGCCGCCGCCGTTCTATCTCCGCCGCCTTCCGCCCACCGTCTGCCACCTTCCGCCGATGCAGAGGTGGCAACTCCTTCGATCCTCGAAGGCGACCCCCTTACTGGAATGCCTCATGTGGTGGACTCGTGCGACCTCCTGCGCCTGCAGGCACGAGCCCCGTCCCAAGACACCAGGATCGGCGCCCCCCAAACATACTGATACCATGTGTGCGTCGTCCCCAGAGGGGCGACGCGAGCGCCGAGAACTCTTCTAGGACATGCTCCGTGGCGGGCGCTTTCTAGCCGTACTGCTAGGGAAACTACGTATGTCAAGATGTTTGTACTAAATGACCTGGTCGGGCGCACGCCTCCAGTCAACCCGCATAGTAAGGATGGGCAACCTTTCCAAGGCTACCCTTGCAGCCTTGTCCCTTCGGCCGGTCCTTGACAACTTTCGCTGGCCAACCTCGTTCGAAAAACATTAACATGGCCCTCCAGGGCCCTTTCATCCTCACCGCGCATCCTCACTATGCTGGTTGACTGTACTGGCACTTCCCTGTGCGCCCCACAGGACCCCTACGCGTACATGGCGGCGCAGATGGCCTCCGCGCGCCCCAGCGGCGATGCCGGCCGGCCCCTCGAGGCCGCGCAGCCTGCGGCGGAGGCCACTGCCGCGGCGGCCGCAGCGGCAGAGGACAGCGAGCCCCCGCTCAGGCAGAGGCGAGGCGTCCTGGTCGGCCTATGGGCCCACCAGTATGTGTTCCGAGAGCCTCTTGTGGTTTGCAGGAATGTTCTTGGGGCACCTCTGGCTGAGACCGCGTTCTTTCAGCACGTCGGCTTCGTGTTCTAGGAACGCTGTCTCTGTTTTCAAAACGTCCCTTTGTTCTAAGAACTGTAGTGGTAGGCCTATAGGAATGCCGGGACGGTCGGTCCCTGCTCAACCCGCTGCCCCCTTGCAGGGCGATTTGCGGCTCGATACGAGATGGTTTGACACCGACTCCGCCGCCAGTTCGAACCGATTCGATCTCGAGGTTCGCCATGAAGGACAGGGTCCTGAAAGAAATTCGCCCTGGAGTCTTTTCGCCATTTTCGAGCTTCTGGCGCCCTCCACGGGCCCCAGGACTCTCAAACAGCGGTTCAGCATGAAGGAATTGCCCTGAGGGAGGGCCCCATGTGCCAAGGACCCATCTCCTTGAAGACCCGCTTCCTTCATGCCATGCTGTTCGGGAGATCCGGCACGGCCCGATGCTCGCAGTGTGCTGCTGTGCATCTCGGCGTAGCCGTTTCGATTCGATTCCGATTCCGTGCTGATGCAGCCTGATCCGACGCGCGTGCCGGCTCCATGCGACTTCCTGACTCGCCATGGTAGGAGGGGGGCGATGATAGGGTCCCAGACATTCAACCTTGCAAGACGTATCTGAGTATAGCAGGTTGCGCAAAGATGCGATGACGCCCTGGCCTGGGCAACAGTCCCATCGTGTCTGCTGTTCCGCCACCAGGGAATCTACATAATGTATTCGTATGACCAGCTTCCTGGTCTGCACGGAGGGCGTCGCCGTGTCTAAATTTGTGCGTGGCAATCAGAACTATCCCGTTCATGGTTCGTGTGAAGACAACGCGCGCACGTGTGCTTGTGCGCATACGTAGTGATATGAGGTGACCTTGCCGCGCCGTGTCCATACCAGCATCTAATTTTGTCAGAACGGCGTTGCCGCGCCGCCGATGTGGCTGTCATAACGAGGGGGGGCAACGAGACGGGCCGCAGCAGCACTGAGGAATGAAACTGACACTGAGGAGGTGGAGGGACGGCGTAGCGAGGAGCAGTGATGAGACGAACCATGAAGGGACTCATAGGAGGAACGGGAGGAGGAGGAGGAGCAGGAGCAACACCACTGAGGGACAGGGGGGTGGGGGAACAGAGCGGTAGTGGGAAATCGGATGGGGGAAACGGACCGAGAGGATGAGGCATAGGAATGAAGGGTGTACATATTATTGCGGCTTTGAGTGATTATCGGCATTCTGTGCGATGGGGAGCGAAGACGCGTGACGAAGAGTTACGGAGAGGAGGATGGTTTCATTCAGTTTGGGCATGGGCTCATTTCCAGCGCTCGGAGCCACATCCAACCATATCGACCCATATGCACTTGTTCTCTGAACCCCTGTCCTCTTCCCGTTCGGCCGCCGTCTCCGCGGCTCAAGTGCATTTTCGCGGCGCCACAAATCTATGGGGATCCTCTCCAGTGTGGTAGGGGTGGCTTCACTCGCCTCTCCAGTTCTCCGACCGCTGGCAGAGCAGGCGCTGACGTGTACGATCCACAGTTCGGTCCTAGGAGGGCCTTATCAAGTCTGCGGTGTGTGCCCCATCTTTGGTGGTGTGCTCGGTGTCAGGCTCACGCTGATCTACCAGGCCTGTGGCAATGGCAGCAACGCTCCGCGGTCAGTACCTGCTGGGTGGGCGCGAGGTTCAGGTGAGATACGCCGACGAGCCTCGCCTTTGGCATCGCCGCGTCGTGATGTGCCGCTGTCCGCTCGAAGTCTACCGTCGAGTGATGGCGGACGAACCCTACGCCGACACCGAGGTGATCTAGTGGATCATGACTCCAGACTTCGACGTGTACCCAGAATAGCTGACAATCTCACCGCTGATGGGCATCGTGGGAATTACGCCAGACGGGACCCTTGTTCCAGGCTCAGCGATCGGCCGCACCTCACACTTGAATCGGGTGTATGCGTTCTCTCCGTTGCCGACGCCCGCAGCCTTCGCGGAGGCGCTGCGGGCCTGCCTAGGCGAAGTAGCCCAGGGCGGTGGTGCTCGTCGCCGTCTTCGGGGTCGTCAGGCAGGTCCAGCAGTCCTTTGCGCTGAGGACGCGGCCGATCTCGGCATCGTGCCCGCAGAGCCTCCTCTAGTGCTGCCAGAGCGCAGCCCTTAGGAGCAGGCGGTGCCGGACCTGGTGAAGGGCGTGTCTCTGGCACCTGGGCTCGGCCATCTGCCTCCTGCTACCGGTGGTTGGCGGCGTGTGTCTGGCAGCGGGTTCAGCGACATTGATTTCGGCACCGACGCTAAGGATACTAATCTGTACGCTCCTGGGGTCGCGCCGGTCAGCCGCAACGGAGAGTTGGCCGTGCTTGTGGATTGTGTAGAGTCGACTTCTGGGACCTCGCCTGAGCTGGACGCCAAGATCCTCGAGATCTCGCGTGACAAGCTGGGCAACCGCCACAAGGATGTGAAGGAGGCCATCGGTTGCTGCACGGAGAGTGTGTGTGGGATAGCTGGCCTTTGACGGGGCATCGCGCGGTGATGTGGTGCCTCACTTTCATTGTTCAGACCAACGGTCACCCCAGAGCCAGGCACACGTTGTGGAAGCACACGTGCCAGTTCACGAGTGGTGACCCAGGTGTGTCCGACCATGAGACAGCTATGAAAGGTCTAGAGTACATGCTCACCTATGATCAGTTGAATGCGCCCGCGCTCGTGTTCGTGGAGCTGTTCATTCGGGGGGCGCAGCTGGCCGAGTTCAGGTACTGTCACTTGCTCCTGAGACCCGAGTTGGCCAACGGCTTGGGGCGATTTGGCCAACAACGAGTTCCTCTACCTCCGCCTGGGTTAGACCAGAGGGCAGACCATGCTGCGCCAAGCCTTGGAAGAGCACGCTGCCGCCGAGCTCCATAGGGAGAGCACGGTTGCCAAGGAGAGGCGCAAACTCCGCGAGGAGCGGCAGCTTGCTCGAGCGTCTCCATCCCTCGTTCCCAGCGAAGCAGCCGCTGCTGCCATCGTCTCTGGCGCCGACCCGCTGCGCTCGCCGACGGGCGCCCCTGCCAACCCGAAGTCCAAGGCAAAGGCTAAGGGCAAGGGCAACACGGCCACGGCGGGCTCCGCCGCCGCGCCCAAGGCATGACTGTCTCGTGGGCCGGCCTGCCCGCTCGGCCCACGGTCTCAGGGCGTCAGCCCGTCGCGAGAGAGCTCCTCCCGATGACGGTGCCGTTCTGCGACGTCTCGCAGGCTAGTTCAGTTGAGTCTGGTTCTCTGCCACGTTCAGTTAGGAAACGGGTGGAGAGTACCAACGACTTGTATGGCGTCAGGCTGGGCCAGTCTTCTTTGGGGCTCTCGCGTGCTCAGCGCGCGACGCATCGTCATCTCGCGGAGGTCTTTCGAGCGATACCACCGCCGCCACGCGCGGCCGTGGAAGCCTTCATGGAGCTTTGCGGCACGCGGGCGGCATATGATGACGCTGATCCCCGCGTTGCTTTCCAGTATGATCTGATCTCTGTACCTTCTCGAGGCGGAGTTGCTGACGGCGCCAAGGTGCTGACGGGCGATTCCTTTTTCCTTGTGCCACTGGAACAATTGTGTCAAGACGCTGTTGGACATGCTGACCAACCTGACTGCGACCAGGACACGTCTGACATTGTGGGACTACCTGCGAAGCCTTGCTCCGATCCCATTTTGATGAGACAAGTTGATGTATGCGAAGCTGATCGCCGATATGTACTCCTTGGGGTTGTGCTCGCTTCGACCCCGTAAGGGCTCGACCGTCGGCATTTTTTCGTCGAAAAGCAGAGCGGCAAGCAACGTGTGATTCTCGATGCCAGGCTGGTGAATGCCTGATTCCAGGAGGCAGATCACACCGTCCTTCCCGGGCCTGGAGCGCGGGCGAGCGTGGGGCTGCAGCCGGTGGACGAGGAGGTGTTCTCACAGATGGATGTGGAGTGTGCCTTCCGCCGCATTCGTGCGCCTCCTGGAGTATCTGACTTTTGCTGCGTCGGGCTTCTGGGCGGCTGATTCGTCAATTGGCACCTGGGTGTGACATCGCGGGTGCCGATTGCATCAGCCCGCATCTCGAGGCGATGGCCATGGGGTGGTCTTGGGCGTGGCACTCCTGCCGGCAGATGGTGACGGCCTCAGTCCAGAAGGTGGGCATCCCCACCTCGCAGTTCTTCAGGGACAAGAGGCCAGTGCCCGATCAGACAGAGTCAAGGGTGGAGGCTGCCGTCTACGTCGGCAACGTGGCGATCGCGGGCACGGGCAAGGGGCGGGTTGCAGTCGCGGCGGATGCGGTGTTCAGGCGACTGGAGGCCGACGGGCTGGATTGCGAGACTATCGATCACGGGCCCGACGTTGCGCACTTCGCGGGCTTGGACCTACGCCGTGCCTCAGGCCGCATCTCTGTCGGCCACGTGAGGTGCTGGAAGGTCAGGCTCGCCGTGTCTCGCGGGTTAGCGGTTGGGCGTGCGAGCGGCCCTGAGATGCATTCCTTGCTGGGGCACAACGCCTTGTCGGCTATTCTCCGACGGTGTTTGCTCTCGCTGCCGCGCGCGCGCTGCCGCTTCGTGGGCGAGGCGGGCCTAAAACGGGCGCCGCTTTGGCCGTCTGTTCGGCGCGAGCTCGAGTGGATGATCTCACTGCTCCCGCTCGCCCGTGCTGACGCCGGGAGCCCCTGGTCTGGCTGCGCCGTCGCCGCCGACTCCGGGGGCGCCGACCTCGTCGACGACGGGGGCTTCGGCGTCGCGCGGAAGTTCCTTGGCGCGGAGCAGGCTCGGATTTGGGGCCGACAGCAGGGGCGCTGGCGGTTCGCCGTGGCCGATGCAGTGCAGGCTCGCGCAGCAGCACTCGCAGCCGCCGCCAGCCCCGCAGCAGTGGCCCCCGCCCAGTCCGACGGCCTCGCGGACTCTGACCTGGGCGTCACCTTCAGCCATATCG